CCCATCAATTTAGGACCTCTTTTTACTGATCTCAGAAGGATGGAAGGGTGACTCAACCTTGAGCTGGTCAAATCAAACTCCTGGCTGAGGGCAGAGTTAGCCTGTAATAAGGCATTCTAATCACTGAGCCACCACAGCTCCATGAATAGGATAAGGCTGCTTTCCTCTATCTGACTCCTGCAAAGGACAACAGGACAATGAAACCAGGATCACTCAGACACTCTTTGTCTTCAGTTAATCACTAATATATGAGAGTATGGTTACCTCAGTAATGGAGAAAAGAGACAAGAAACAGCAGCAGCAGTAGTAGAAATGGCATTTCTCAGTGAACTCAGCAAATTTGATCAAGCTACCTCTTCATGGGAAAGTGACGGAATGCCATTTCTGGTCTTCCCTAGGAGATATACCCAAATAGCTTGTGCCACTCTTGTTCACACACATACACACCCCTCACATACACACAACCTAAAGGACTGGTACTGATTTCTTCAAGAATTTGACTAAAATCTATTGAATTTCATTTGAAAACCCAAACCCAACATGCTACTGTACTTCATAGTTATAATGAGAAAGCTCCAAGTGACGATTACCTTTTCCTTATGTGGTTGATTGTACTTATTTAATCAGTTTTTAGTCTGCTTTCCTTTATAAATAAACTGAATTTGAATCAAATCTGCAGGAGTTGCAGCCTCTTCTGAGAGATGGCATATGCCAAATGGAAGATGCAACATTTTTTCCTTTAAAGAAAATTGCCAAATAACATTCTTAATTCTGGGTAGAACTGGACAATTTTTTTTCAGACATAGTTCATTTTACTGAGGAGATATAGCCTGCCAAGTTTCCAGTTTGGTTACAGGGTATGTTGTTATTCTCTAACAACCAAAGCAAATAATGGTATTCTGGTTAATGAAAAATGCTGCCAAGTAAATAGACCAAGTGAAATAGTGAAAACAGAGCTCTGTTTTCTGGGGGTTGGTGGTGTCTATAAATGTATGTTTAATGCTAATCTTCATTTTTGACGCAGTGGAGACTTTTGAATCAGCACATAGGAGGAAGAGTCTAAGAGCCTTTGCACTAATAAACTAGTGCTCACATAATTATCATGACAATTTGAGACTCCAGTTATAGACAGTACTCTATATTAAGAAGTCCAAGTTATATAGCCTGTGGAAATGTATTTCATCTTGGCAGGATTCACATGCATTGAGGCACGGTGAAATTCATTTGGTTTCAATCAGCACAAACAACGAAGCTAAACAATTGTGGTTTACACAAATAATTTTCTACTATTTGTGAAATAGTAGGAAATATGGTAGGTAATATGAACCTAGTGTGGATTCAGAACCATTTATCCATCAGTTTTAGTAGTTTGTGTTTTGATTAGCAGCAGCTCTCCTTTATTTTTTTTTTTAATTTTCTATCTTAATAATGTAAGAAGAGACTGGACAACCATTTGTCTGAAATGGTATAGGATTTCCTGCCTGAGCAGGGGGTTGGACTAGAAGACTTCCAAAGTCCCTTCCAACTCTACTACTACTGCTGCTGCTGCTACTGCTACTACTGCTGCTGCTGCTGCTATTATTATTATTATTATTATTATTATTATTATTATTATATCCAAGACTCTTTTAAATAATGATGTCAGAAATGGAATCTAAAATTATGGTGTATATGCTTTAGCATTAATTTATAACAATTTTTATTTTGAATTGTTTCATGCTAACAAGATCACATTGTTTCTTTCCTCTTATCAGCATTTACTGCAGAATGCTGGTTTTCTATGCAGTGCAGCAGAAGTTATATTTCCCATAATAATGAGATTGCTTTAAAGGGATGTTGCCATAAGAGAATAAAAGTATGTACAGATCTTTAATTGGCTGAGCATAGCCTAATATTAATCAAAGAAAGGCATATCTGATTTCATCCGAAAAGACACATGCCCTTATAATGGAATTGCTCTATGGCCATTTCTTACTTGTCCAATATTCAGAGATACTCCATGGACTGTCTTATAAGGCCTATACAAATTTTGCATTAAAATTTTGTTGATATTTAAAGAAAGATGAAGTAAAGTTGGTCTATTTTGTCAGATAAGATGAAGTTTGAGAAGCTGATGGTATTCCTGCTTTTTCTTGTTTCTTTTGCCCTTATCTACAGGTATCACAATAAAGACTATCTTTGGGTAATAAGAAGAATGTGGGGGGAGGGAAGAGACTATACAATAAAATACATTTCTGAGCTATCCCTTTGTGTTTTTTTCTGTTGTTTACCTAATTCCAGTATCAGAACTAGCAACAGAGATGTGCTCGGAACAACAGACTGCCAAGAAATAATTAACTGGAAGACCTGTGGATATCAGGGGAAGATCTGTGTTTTTCGTAACAGCTGTAGCATGAATTTCTTACCAACAGCACACTACCTTCTTTTCTCTCTTCCTGTTGCTTTCCCCACAGTTTCTTCATCTGTTCCTTTTGCTGCATTAGCAGTTTTTCCAGTCTTTGGCAAATTTTACTTCCTTCCTTAAAGAGTGCAAGCTTATTCTCAAGAAGACAATCAAAAGTTCTAAACTTTGGAGGGCTGCAATACCTAGTTCACACAGCTTTTGGTGGAAAAAGTGGGAGAGAGGTAGTGGTAGAGAAAGGAGAAAGTCTCCAGAAAGTAGACTAACTGAATAAACAAAGATGATTTTAAGGGTACAAGGAAGGATTTAATTATAGTATGATCAATCTGATAAACTGGAAATGTATGTAAGGGAGCTAAACCAAAGGATATTTGGAAAAAAATTAAAAGTATGTAACTTTAGTCTCAATTATATTTTCTGGATAAAACCTGCTGATTTGCAGCCTTCTTCAACTCCCAAATAGTCATGTTTAATCTAAAATACAGTATTTTTCGGTACTGAGTGAAGTAAATATTGGAATATACAGAACACTTATTTAGAGTATAGAAAGAAGCCCATGAAAGATTATGATACTTTTTTCCTTTTCAGGAGGTCTCTTTTGAGTCTTTAAGAGAGACTTTACATCTAATGGCCTGGCATAAAGTAAAAAGCAACTGATATTTAGATCTGAGGGCCAGATTTCATATATCAATGACGATCATTGCTACACTTAGGCTAATCTTGATTTGCTTTCTTACATGATTTTTCTTAGAATAAATTAAATAATCTCCTCTAACTCCTTAAAATGTTAGCTACATTTTCAAAACAGAATTAAAATAATCTAAAAAATAAAGCAAATTGGAGCAGAGTTTTATGGTATAAAGCAAAGTTCAATCCCATTTTTAATTTTTGTCTTTCAAACGTCATGTCATTCCCCTTTCAAATTTTTGGGTAATTCGATGGAAGCATTTGTAATATTTTTTTTCTCACTTGGGTGGGGACAAAAGGAAATGAGGGAAAGGATTTGCCACAAATCTCTCCATACTAAAGAACAGGGGCTTGGCCTTTAGTGTTAATATTTCCCAAGTGTGTAAGTACAGAAGAGAACTCTCCCAGGAACTCATGCGATCAAAAGTTCAGATAGTCAACTTAAAGGTACTAATAGGTCACGGATACAAGTAACTTATGCATTTTTACGAACTTGTTGCAACATGATAATTTATACTTGTACTTTGACTTCAGGATAAAGCTATACAAAGGAGAACTACACAAGAAATACTAGTTGTTAAAACAGGAAAGTACTTAGCATCTAAAGATTAAATAGCTAGAGTTGGTCACTCTCAACACATATAAAAAAAAGGTTTGTCTGTGAATGGAATTTGTGACAAAATGTATGATGTGGAGTGGTAACTCTGTTCAATACATCTTATTCCCAGTTTTTCTTATATCCGGTTTTTCTTATACCCAGATAATTTAAACCAGTTTAGCGTAATAGTTAAGGCATCAGACTTGAAACCAGGAAACTTTAAGTGCTACTCCTGCCTTTGACAGAAAATCTGCTGAGTGACTTTGGACCAGTCGCTTCTTCTCATCCCTAGGAAAGAGGCAATGGCAAATCACTTCTGAAAAATCTGGCCAAGAAAGCTACAAGGATTTGTCCAGGAAGTGTCTGAAAACCAAACACAATCGAATGAATAAGATTGAGAAAACCACAAATCCAAAATTCAAAGCAGCATCATTAAAAATACAAAAACAATGGATTTGAAATAAATCGCAGGAGGGTGGGAGGAGTACAGATTAAATTCTAATCATCTTTCAATCAGGAATTTTCCTCCTTTTCCCAATGCTGCCAGCACATGGTCAGTCCTTGTTAATATGGCTTTGTGTTCTCCATACCTGTTCATTTGGATTAAACATTTTGATTGAATAATTGTAATTCTGCAGTGCTTAAGAGTACCTTGAATTTGTTGATACCTCTCTGAGAACCTAGATGGAACTTCATCCACTTCATACGTATTAGAAATATACACAACTATGTTTCTTATACATAGAATTTTATCAATCTATCACTGTGTTATGATGCTTTCTGTGAGATCTTTCTTATTATAAATAAAAGGGACAGTAGACTGACATTTACTTTAGTTTTTAAATAGGCTCTTATAGGCTTGCCTTTTCCCCTTTCTAGAGCTATGCTGAAATGATAGCTATGGAACATTCCTTCATTCTGTCATGAGCCACAAAGTAATGACATGGGATACCAGGTTTGGTATCAATTTTTCAAGAGCCTTCCAAATAAACAATAAAAACAATATCATTCTGAAGACAAAGCAAAAATCCCCTTTATTTAGATACAATAAATGCTGTATGTGAATATTAGTTTTCAGGATTATATGCAGTATAAAGTGAAAATAAAAACCTTATGTGAAACCTTGGGCAAAATAGCTAAATGATTTTGTCTATTTAAAGATATTATACAAATCTCTTTGGGAATGATATTTTATTATTCATATGCTGCTGCCAAGCTAGAAAACCCCCTGAAAATTCATATAGCTTTGATTATGCAAATACATGTGACAGCATTTTTGTCTAATCTTTCCATTGTTTTGCTTTGTCCCAACAGGTAAATATGGGATGTATAAAATCCAAACAAAAAGAGAGTCTGCGTGGAGATGGGCTAGATGTGAAGAACAAATCAGTACGTAAAACTGAACGAACTATTTATGTGAGGGATCCAACGTCCATTAAACAGCAAAGGCCAGTAAGTAGATAGTTTCAGGGAAGAATTCCAACAGTAAGATTGCAGTTTGACTGGCATACCTTAAGTGTTTATTTCATTAAAAAAATAACAACACATAACCAGGAATGAAAATTACATTTTCATGGACTGCAGTTTAACTTTGTGGCAGTGCGTTCATTAGCCCATAAAGAATGTACCTGAAATCTAGAACCGTATGTCTTTGAGTCCTCTGTTCTAGCTAAGAGCAGTTTGAACATACAGCCCTGCATTTGTAGATCACCCAGCAGTGTTAGATTCACTGTGGAATCTTGGAAATACAGTAATTCATTTTTTAATATTTTATATTTTCTTAAATGCTCACTGTTGAGTTCTCCGTTCGTGTGCGAATGATGAAGAACTCATGATGACAAATAACAATGCTTTATTTTCCTACTCTACACGCAGGCCTTTTTATAGGGCTTGAACCCCGGACAGAGTGAACCAATAAGAGTTCTTCTTTCTTTGCGCCTTGAGCATGCACACAAGGCTGGCACCGCTCAGTCTGGTCCCGGGCAGCTTTTAGAATGCCCGGGACCATTTTGCAACAATTCTGGGCCTGCTGAGTTTCCTCATCAGGCTCAAGACACAACACCCCTCCCCCCTGGATAGAACACACACAATTCCAATTTCTTTACAATCATTAAAAGAAAATAATAGTCTGCTCACATGCAGACAGCCTTCTTCTACTAACAGAGTTAGCCAACCAATCACTCTCTAAAGTGGGCTTCACGTGTCTATCTTCTACCCCACAAAAGTCCCATCTCCTCAACCTAGACCTGTAAAGTCCCTTGTACTGACAAGAACCTCACATATTTGCCTAGATGCTTAGGAGGGGCCTTAGCCCATTGTGACCTACGCAAGGTTAGGGAGGGTGCCTGGCCTGTCAGTTCACCTGCCCGGCTAGGCAGACCAGGACTTGTTCTTAAGGGCGCCTGGCCTACCGGCCCGTCTGTTGCACTCACTAGAGCAGGACTTTTATGCACACGTTTTGCAGGTGGCCCCTGGTGAGGCATGCCGGCAGAATTGCCAGAGCTCTCCCCAGGCTCCGTGAGAGCAGCTGAAATTCCCCAGCCCTCTGAATTGGCTGAGGATTCCCCAACTACTCTGGATGGCTCCAGGGAATTTAGTCCCTTCAGCCTGCAACCAATCTCAGATGTGACCTGCGTTGCAGATGTGCCCCAATACTCCCAGTCCCCTGTGGCCAGGAGCTGCCTCAATGGCAAACCCCGCCTCAGGTGAATTCCTGTTTGGAGCTCTTGCGGATACGCATGACTCCCTGTTCGGCGTAATAACTGAACTCTGAGGATGTCCGGACAGAGTGAACCAATAAGAGTTCTTCTTTCTTCGCACCTTGCGCATGCGCACAAGGCTGGCACCACTCAGTCTGGTCCCGGGCAGCTTTTAGAATGCCCGGGACCATTTTCAACATTTCTGGCCTGTTGAGTTTCCTCATCAGGCCCAGGACACAACACTCACAATGGAGGAAATTTCTTTAGAATTTATTTTTCTTGTTTTTAAAAGAAAATGGTGAAACAGCAATAACTAAATTTTAAGAGTATTCTTATTTTCTGGGAAGAATGCTGTATGAAAATTAGGAACTGTAAAAAATCCCTGTAAAAGATATTCTTCATGATTTTAAGAGAAATATATTGCATAGATTAATCCCAAACCTAATCCTAAATATCATCTAAACCAAGAAGTAATAACACAAATAAAATGTGTGTGTTTCTATACAGGAAAGGGAGAGAAATGGCATATTGTGTATTTTATATTTATCAACTCTTCATATTTCAGCTATTTACATCTAGTCCTTGTTTAGGTCTGTCTTTAACAACTGTTAAAGACTGGTAATGAAAAAATAACTTTGCAACCAGCCTTTGTATTTATGACCTTCAAGGTCTATAAAGCAATGGAAAGCTGAAGTAACATCATAAACACTGTCATGGTTTCAGTTAACAACTGCTTTGCTTAATGATCAAGTTGTCAGTCCCAATTATGGTCAGTAAATAAGGACTACTTTTACTTATTTATAGCATATGTCCTGTCATCTAGGAATCTCAGTTCTTTCTGGATTATCTGTTTTGTACTACTTTTAAAAACTAAGTAGATAGAGAGTATTTAAGGAAATTTCATTAGGAGAGAGGAAAAAAGAGCAAGATTTTAAGATGTGGCCGTTAAGCAAGACATCACATGAACATGACTTACGGTTTTATTGCCAGCTTGTGCTTGTTGTAAGTCAGCTATGAAATGTGCAAAAGGTGATCTATGGGACAATGCTACGGTCATAAACACCTGCTGATTATGAAGCACAAGAATCTTAATCACATGACCATGGGGATGATGTGATGATCATAAGTGCAACGACCAGTCAGTAAAGTTACTTTTTCAGCACTGTCCTAACTAACTTCTAACAGTTGTTAAACGAAGATTCCTGTATTAACAACCAAACAGATTAAAAGATAGATTTGAGTTAGCTGGAATCAGTGCCTAAATTGAATGACCTAAATTCATTTTAAATTTCCTAAACTTTGTGTGCAGTATATATTACAGCTATATATATAGTGCATTCAAAAAGTATTCAGGCCCCTTCATTTTTGTCAATTTTGTTATGCTGCAGCCTGATTCTACAATTGTTGAATTCACTTTTTTCTCATTAATCTACACTTAGTACCCAATAATGACAAAATGAAAACACAATTTTAGAAATGTCTGTAAATTTATTAAAAAGAAAAAAACTAAAATATCACATTGGCATAAGTATTCAGACCTTTTGCAATGGTACATGAAATTTAGCTCAGGTTCCTGCCAGTTCTCTTGATGACAGCTAACATGTTTCAATACTTTGATTGGAGTCTACCTGTGATAAATTTAATTAATTGGACATGATTTGGAAAGTGTCCAAAATATTTTTTAAAACTATGGACTCTTAAAATCTTACAGAGATACTGCATTTATTCTCAAAAAACATTTGTCAAGGGGAGGTTCTCCATTTTCAAGATGGATGCCTTCATAAAGCACTTTTTTCAATTAATAAAAACTGTTACAAATAAGAAAAATAAATTGCAACAGAAACCTATGTATAAGAAAGTTGTTTTGAATCCACAGTTTGGGACCTGAGAACTAGATAATGCACCTGGCAATTTTATCCATAACAGGATAGCTGTTTTTCAGTTATCATGTGGTAAGAAAACCATCTGGGATCACATACTGTGCTAAATCCTGCCATGCATGATTTTACTTGTTTGAGGTGGTTTTCATGAAGAATAAGTAGTAGAATACAAACTTTAAAAAAAATCACCTTTAAAAAAAATCTGCATTTCAGTGAATTATATTCCCTTTAAGGAAAAGGTGAAAAAGACAGGTTCAGAAAAAAGAAAGGAGCCAAGGTTGTCGTGCAGGAATACAAGCTCATTTGAGGGCTAATCCACATGGAGCTCTGTTTCCATCTGTCCTATTTGCCATCGTTTGCTCCCTAGAGACTAAAGTGGATGTTCTGAAACTTGAGCTGGCCATGAACAAAGAGTGTATATCGGAGGTGGTGACCCTTTGAGAGCTATATGCAACGAAATTTCATTTTGATGTATGCCAATTGGTGCACATTCAAAGTGACAATGAAGTTATTATTATTATTATTGGGATTAATATCCCAAAGTACAGAGCATTATTAAAAAATTAAGCACTTTATTACATTATTTAAATTGGACCTACCTCTTCAGAAATAATATGGCAAAGATGAGATGATAGACAATAGGAATGTGCAACGATCTGTATTTGAAAGAGAAAAGGAATTTTTAAGTATATCTAGTTGCTTATTGTACCCTTCTTGGCAAATCCTTTTAGAAGCTGAACTTTTTCTGATCTTGCTTCCAATCCCAGGAAAAGATGCATTTTAATTAAGGGAGTGACAGTAGGTGGGATGTATGAGTCTATACTTTCTCTAAATCATCTTTTTATTCAAATCTCAATTGTTCCACAGCCCTATGAAAAAGTGTCTCTGGAAGCTATAGACTAGAGGTGGAGAAAAGCAGCTTGCCATCTGATAAATGGAGCTTCTGTTCCATTTACTGTCCATCGCAGTAGCCATTTGATATGCACAGTGCTTAAAATCTGCCTTCAGATTTTGTAGTTGCCTTCATCAACTACAAGACCACTGCATTAACTATAATTAGATTTTAGATTAGTACTATATAAATTCAGTCCTTCCAGGTTATTTAACAAAACATATTTTGTGTGAATTCAGCCTAAACAACTGTGGACTAACTCTTCTTATAAGTTATGTTCCAAAACTGACATGTGAGCTGCTCTCATGTGTACTTCCTTTAACACAATAAGGAGTAGCGTTGCTGATGATTAATATTTCAATTCAGCAGGATTTCAGGATTGGCTGGATTTCATCATTACCCTCTTTAAAAAAAAAACCAAGGATATGCTCCATTTAATTTTCTTACAGTATTCTGGATTGATCAGGAACATCATCAAAAATGGGAGATATTTCTACACTGGATTGTCTTCTGTCAGATAAACCCTGTTGGAACTCAGTGATCTAGAAGGGGGCCACTGTAGCAAGAATCCTTTAATATGTCAACTTTACCTACTTAATGGATAATTGAAAGATCTTTTGAATAATGATCAACAATTATCTAGTGATATATTTATAAACTGTGTTCTACAATGGCAAAGCATTCTATTAAAACAAATATGTATATAAAAACATAAATTTGACAAATAAATTTGTTTTTACCAAAAGTATATCAATTTTGTTTTCAGGAAACCCACAAAATATGAAATTCCAGCCAAAATGTTCAATTTTGCCATAAATATTTTTGGCAATAAATAGCCTAGTATTGCAGAATGCCCAGAATACTTTTTAGTTGTTGTTCTATAAATAGACATCCGCCCAGTGGGCTCTTGCAATTTTTTCAAGAAAGTTTTTATAAATCTATATAGTTTTGAAATTTAGAGGACACTGGTGGTTCAGGTAAAAGAGGAACCAATTAGTTCCCAAAGTGGGTGTACTCTGACATGAATTTCCTGATAAATTTGTATGTGCAGACATTTCAAACCTAAGTACAGTATTTCAAACATAGCCCAAAATAAACTAATCAACTTAAGAAAAAGCCCTATAGGATTTGTATTTTAAATTTAAATAAATCTGGTGATATTTAAAAACTTATTATTTTGTTTTAGGGAAATGAAGATATTCTTTTGCCAGGTCAAAGGTTCTATAATGAAGGTATGTTTATAGAAAAAAATCACTGATTACTACAACAAATTGCTATTGTTTGATTATATTAAATGAGTAAGAATATATTTATTGCATTTCTCAATTAGATGAGGAGAAAGAACATGGGGACATTGTGATAGCCTTATATGTTTATGAAGGCATGCATGAAGATGACTTATCCTTCAAAAAAGGAGAAAAAATGAGAATTCTGGAGGAGTAAGTATAGAAGTCTTGTCCTGCTTTTATTTACTTCTAGGTAATCATGAGTTTAGGGTTATGCTCAGCAGTTAGACTTAGACTGGCCATTTTAATTCCAGTAGGCCAAAGCTAGTTATTATTATTAAAATAATGAGGGTAGCACTGTGCTGGGTAAAAACTGGGAAGGGCTGTATTCATTGACCACAAAGTTCACAAGATATGGACTGTTCTCTCTATGTGTGTGTGTGTGTGTGTGTGTGTGTGTGTGTGTGTGTGTGTGTGTGTTTAGCTAGCAATAAATGTAAGAACACCAGGAAATTATAAAACTATAAAAAGTTTTAATAAATTTAAAACACCAAGCTTTCGCCGGAAACTGCCGGCATCGTCAGGGTGGTTTCCAGTCAATGGGAGAGGCTATTTATGGCTGTGGCGTTCTTTGTGCCCGGCTCATGGATCTCATCACAGGCCCCAGCCAATCCATCTGCACTTTGATCTTAGTGTCCGTGTTACTGATCGTTGTTTTCTTGCTTTCCTTTGTACCAACATTCTCATCCTTTTCCTCCTCATGTGGTCGTGGGTTGGGGGAGCTTGCACATTTTCGTGCAAGCTCCCCCAACTGACGATGCCGGCAGTTGCTGGCGAAAGCTTGGTGTTTTAAATTTATTAAAACTTTTTATAGTTTTATAATTTCCTGGTGTTCTTGCATTTATTGCTAGCTAAACATGAGTTTACCCAGGAATCACCTTTTTATTTTTAGTATTCTTAAGAACATATATATGTATATATATATATATATATATATATATATATATATATATATATATATATATGTGTGTGTGTGTGTGTGTGTGTGTGTGTGTGTGTGTGTGTGTGTGTGTGTGTGTGTTTTCTGAGGTTTTCGCGGGTGTTTGTATGTAGCTCTTTGGTTGTTCGGGTTTTCTCCCGCATAAAATTGGAAGTGTCTTGGCGACGTTTTGACGAAGTCCCATTCGTCATCTTCAGGCTGGTGCTTTCAGCTTCGTGCTTCGAGGAGCAATGTGTGGTCTTAGCTGTTTCCTCATTTTAACTGCCAGTGGGTGTATGAACTGATTGGGTGGGAGCTTGGCTGTGTTCTGATTGGGTGGAGGTGTGTTCTGATTGATTAGGGGCGTGGCTGAGCTCTGATTGGCTGGGGGGTTGGCTGTGCTCTGATTGGCTGGGGGAGTGTTCTGTTTGGTTGTGCTCAGGTTAGTCTGAGTTGCAGCTGCATCATTAGCCACTTTAAACCCCTCCAATCCATACATGAAGCAAACTGACACCCTCCATGAAGATGAGGCACGACCACAAACGCGAAGCCAAAAAATAGCAAGGCAGCCCAAAATCTTAAACCTCCCTGCAACTCAGACTAACCTGAGCACAACCAAACAGAACACTCCCCCCGCCAATCAGAGCACAGCCCACCCCCCCAGCAATCAGAGCCCAGCCAACCCCCCAGCCAATCAGAGCCACAGCCACGCCCCTAACCAATCAGAACACACCTCCACCCAATCAGAACACAGCCAAGCTCCCACCCAATCAGTTCATACCCCCACTGGCCGTTAAAAGGAAGAAACAGCTAAGACCACACATTGCTGCTCGAGGCACGAAGCTGAAAGCACCAGCCTGAAGATGACGAATGGGACTTCGTCGAAACGTCGCCAAGACACTTCCAATTTTACGTGGGAGAAAACCAGAACAACCAAAGACCTACATATCTACATACATAATATATAATATATATAGATATATATAATATATATATATATTCTGAGGTTTTTGCGGGTGTTTGTATGTAGGTCTTTGGTTATTCGGGTTTTTTCCCGTGTAAAATTGGAAGTGTCTTGGCGACGTTTCGACGAAGTCCCGTTCGTCATCTTCAGGCTGGTGTTTTCAGCTTCGTGCTTCGAGGAGCAATGTGTGGTCTTAGCTGTTTCCTCATTTTAACTGCCAGTGGGGGTATGAACTGATTGGGTGGGAGCTTGGCTGTGTTCTGATTGGGTGGAGGTGTGTTCTGATTGGTTAGGGGCTTGGCTGTATTCTGATTGGCTGGGGGGGTTGGCTGTGCTCTGATTGGCTGGGGGGTTGGCTGTGCTCTGATATATAATGTATGTATGTATATGTATTTGTTTTCTGAGGTTTTCGCGGGTGTTTGTATGTAGGTCTTTGGTTATTTGGGTTTTCTCCCGTGTAAAATTGGAAGTGTCTTGGCAACGTTTCAACGAAGTCCCATTCGTCATCTTCAGCCTGGTGTTTTCGGCTTCGTGCTTCTAGGAGCACAAATAACCAAAGTCCTACATACAAACACCCGCGAAAACCTTAGAAAATAAGTGTGTGTGTGTGTGTGTGTGTGTGTGTATGTATCCATTAACAGCTATGTAATATTTGTTTCCATTTAAAAGTTCCCTGTTTCTCCTTGTCCATGAAATATTGCTTTAATCTTCAGTAACTGAGTTTAAATGTTCTTGGGACAGATGTCATGGTTCTGAAAGATGAAACTCTTCCAAGAACTTTGAGACATTGTTTACCTTAAAGAATATTTAATAGAGCAACATAGCTTCGGCACGTATATAGGCAAAGCCAAAATCTGAATTCTCCTCCCCTAAACACATAGTATCGAAGCATAATTCACTCCTCCATTTAACAGTCATTAATCACATTCTCCAATTAGTTTGAAGTGCGAACTTTTCTCCGTTCCATAACCGCCATTTCTTATCTTCTCTTATTACAAACAACCTTGAAGAATACTCTACTGAGATATTGTTATGTCTAACTAATCCCCATGCACATTCTTCCCCCTCCCCTCCAGCACCATCTGATTCTACCTCTAAAAGTAATACACAGAGAAAATGGCTGCATCTTTGTATATTGTCAAAGCAAGAACATCCGATGTTAGCAGCATTGACAATAAACATATGTCCATCATCCGACAAAAAATTAAAAAAAATAGAAAACCTGAAAGGGCAGACTTCATTGACCACTGGGTCTTTTTCTGCCATTAATTTTCTATGTTTCTACGTTTAATAAAAATATCAACCTCTAAATAATTGGGATTTGTTTACTATCAAAATAACGTTACTTTCTGTGGAAATGCAAATGTAGAAGTTAATGTGGGTAACAGTATGTTGATCTATACATTTCTTTAATTATTTAGTCATCAAAAACTGTGTGATAAGCAATACTAATTTTGGAAGTGAATACAGGGTTTAATATACATGAGATTTCAAACCAGTTTTGATTCCTAACATAGTTAACAGATATTATGCTGAGCATACTTTGGTAGCATACTAAACCATGCATGCCATCACTCAGTAGCATGCTAAACCATTTAAATTTAGCTGTGAATGAAGATAACTGTTGAATCCACAGTTTAGTTTCCTAAGTAGTCTGTCTGAGAAACAGTTATTATAGGCAAATGAAGATTTCTTTCTTTCTTTATCAAATTCATATAGCTGCACATTTCAGCAAAGGAGACTATCGGTGGTGCACAACAAATGGATAAAACCACATATAGAAACTATAGATGTGTATATATATATATATATATATATATATATATATATATATATATATATATATCACGTTTACAATAACCTTATGAAACAGATACGGGCTCTTGGCAAAGAGGGAATAAAAACAGCCAACTCAGTAATTAAATCACCTATGCATGTCTCTAGTTCCCTGGTATCCTAGTCTGCCTTACCATCAGAGACTGAGGTTACTTCTATCATTGAAACAAATATACCTTGTTCAGATAATCCTCAATTTACAACCTCTTGCTTAACAAGATTTGAAGTTATGACAGAGCCCCAAAAGCTACTTACCACCCATTTCTGAAATTATGGTGATCAGACATATTCCCATGGTCACATGACCATCAGTATGACTATGTACCGCATCTTGCAGTCACATGACTGATTTGTGACATTTTTTGCCAATTTTTTCATTTCAGTTGCAGCATTCATTTAACAGCCCTCACAAAAAATGTTGAAAAATTGGGGATCTGCTCACATAATGCCTAAATTTATGACCACAACAACTTACAAGAATAATTCCAGGTTACGTTGAGAACTACCTGTGATTTGCTTATGTCTACAGTTAAACAAAGCAAGTAGTATATTCTACATTAGCATAATAAGCCCTAAATGAGGCAACTTTTTCATTGTATGTGATTCATGCCAAACCATTAATCCTGGATTAGTATGATGTATGAGCATAGTTATTATTTCTTTTAGTTGAAATGTAAGCTTCTTTGAATGATGCTGTGGTTGATCAGTAAAGTGTTCTTTACAAAACTAATACTGTTTATTTTATTCTTTTTTTTAGACATGGCGAATGGTGGAGGGCTAAGTCCCTTTTAACTAAGAAAGAAGGATTTATCCCAAGCAATTATGTTGCAAAAGTCAACACCTTAGAAACAGAAGAGTAGGTTTCTTATCTTTTAAATATTTGATTTCTACTGCTTTTCCCCCCTCATGTTTGGGAAAAAATAAAAATACATTTTTAAAATAATACTTTTCAGATGGTTCTTTAAAGACATAACCAGAAAAGATGCAGAAAGGCAACTTCTAGCACCAGGGAATTCTCCTGGAGCATTCCTTATCAGAGAGAGTGAAACATTAAAAGGTAAGTTTTCTGGATTTCATTGGAGCTGAAAATAAATTCAGTTTTCTGTCTTAAAACTCTTAAATGCTTATGACACAAATTTTTGAATAAGCTTCTGTGTGATAACATTTGCACAATTAAATTTATTGGGCACATCTTGGACATTCCATGACAAAGAAACCCTTCTTGCAGTCATCGAACCAAAATCTAGCACAGATTTTTTCCATTTTGGCTAGATTCCCTCTAAAGAGAATTAATAGACCAGGAATAAGACTTGAAGTTTTCTGTAGTTATAATACATATTACTGTTCAAATTGATCCTTCCTTTCTTTGATTTATATGGCTGTCCAACTTACAGAAGAACTTACAGCTTGATAGTAGCATAAAAAGAAAACAAGGAGTAACAGAACAGAACATCAGAACAATCAAGGCCAACATAAGCACAATCCATTAAAAAGATCCTTTTTGTACAGATTCATCTTAAGCTCTTGCCTAATGCCCAGTGAAAGCCAGGTTTTCAGGGCCTTAAAGGCTAGCAGACTTGTGGCCATCAGAATCTTAAGAGGAATGTGACAAAGAAGTTATGGCAGCTGGATTCTGCCAGGTAACATTAGAAGGGACCTGAAACATGCCTGCCTGCCAAATATCAAGACATAAGCAGAGATACACGAGTTAATAAATAACATGGCCGTGTGCCATGATACACAATGGTACATCAAGTTGTGCCCATAATTATTCATACAATAATATTCTTCCTAGGTAGAAGGCAGTTTTATGTATAGCATGTTGCATTAGCCCATATGGGAAGTGACTGAGACATGAGTGACTGTCCCCCACTCCAGGAATGTATAGAATTTGTTATCTGAAAGAGCCTCCTGGCCCTGGCTGCTATCTCCTGTTTCAGCAGGACCCAAGTCCATAAGAGGATTCCCAAATTATGCTCCAGTTCTATCTGAGGGAATATAACTTTATCCAGAACTGAAGGATGAAAATCCCTAGAATTGGGCATCCCAAAACTCACAGTTTCTGACTATAGCTTGGGTATAGTCAGGTCAACAGTCAGGTCCCATTCAGGTCTACAGTTTCTAGAAATTGGGAAGGAACCTTAACAGTATGTCTTGGTTGCTCTAAGTTGGAGTTATATAACTGGATATCACCAGAACTGAGGATACCTGACATTGTACCTACTAGTTTTAGTAGCTGTTAAATAGGAGTGGAGAAAGAGTGCAACCCTGAGGAAACCACAGAGAAAAAAAATATGTTAAATTTTCCTCCATCTCCACCAAATGCCAGCTCAGCCATATGATTATGGTTTCTGGATTAGTGTATATGAAAAAAAGGAAAGTGTTTAACAAAAAAAGTTGTAATATGATTAGAAAGATCTATTTTATGTTCCTTTGAGACTCTTATTAAAGTCAAATTCTACCACTATTCAACTATAACATAATATAATTGTTCACATTTGTAAGAAATACAGTTGGAATGAGTGGTACAGTGGGAAAAATAGTTTATAAAGATGATTAACTATATTGGGAAAATAGAACCATGTCCCATGATTATTTTCCTTGTTCTGATTCATTGTTCGTTTGGAGAAGAGTCAGAATTGTTCACCCAGGAAAAGTGTTGCTTTTATTTTTTTTTAAAGAAGCCATTTTTTTAACAAATGGGAATTCTGTCTTTTTTCCAGAAGCCTGTTTTTCTAAAGTAATAATTATTTTATTGTAACCTGTTTAATAGACATCCGAAAAACATCAGTTTGATGGATCTAGTCTTTGTTGTCTTACTGCAACAGTAGGTAGCAAGAGGGAAGAGACACATCCAGGACAATGTTCAGATATGAGGCAATTACATGCAGCAGGTTACCTTGAGGTGGTTTTCCACTCGCAAGGGACATGGAAGGCACATCTGGATCATACATTGCAAGCAGCCAATAGGTCCTTAAATGCAATCAAACATTACTTTTACACAGGCAGAGGTCAATAAGTACCTGCTGCCTGAAAACTTTTCGAGGCCAAAACATTGGCGCAAATTCTATATGGGGCACAAACACGAATCCTTGAAAAAAAAACTTGCTGGAAACCATACAAACCAAATTCCTGCGAGCCATCTTCGCTGCACCCACAGGAACCCCAAATGCCCAATTAAGAATTGAGACAGACATGCCACAAATTCAGGTAAGAGCTTGGAAGATGATGATCATTTACTGGCTTAAAATACATTTCTTTCCAGAAGGATTGTCCCCATTAGTGACAACTTCCCCTCCCCCTGGAGGCAGGCGATAGATCATAAACTGGGCTCTTATGGGCTCTCTTCAGTATTCTTAATGTCCCTAGGCTTTGACCAAGCAAAGCAAGTAATATCCAATAGAATAAAGGACATGGAGTTCCAAGAAGAACTAAATAGGTTGCCTTGCCACAGTAGGGATAGAATCAAACAGGGTGTGTGGGAATTGGCAAGATATCTGAATGATCTGACCTTCCCAAAACAAAGAATAGCTTTCTTCAGAGCCAGATTTAACATTCCTCCCTCAGCACTCCTCCAGGGAAGGTATAAGAGAACACCAATAGCAGAATGGGTATGTATATTGGTAAAGGAGAAGTCAAAGATATCTCACATGTTTTATTGTACTGTGAGTTATATCAAGTTTATAGGTCAGCATATATTCCTCCTTATTAGAGATATTGCCAGGGAGGGCAGACAATTTTTATGTAGGCTTTCTCCTTCAGGACTCAAACCCTTTATCACGCATGCAGTGGCAAAATACTGTGTTGCAGCAATGTCCACAAGAAAAAAATTGATTACAGATTTATAGCCGTCAACTTGTGCCAATTTTTTGGAGATATCTCTAATAATTTTTGGAACATTATATTTATTCACACACTTATCGGCTTTCCACTCACGTAAACTAGGGAGTGACCCTAACATTTTGAGAACATGTATTTTCTTAACAGGGATGTTATTATTTACTATTACTGTCAGTATTATTTTTATTTTATTTTTTTCTTAATATATTGTAAAAAGTGATGTCTATTGCTGGTCTACAACCATAATAAAGTTATTATTATTATTAGCATGGGCAAATCAAACATCTCAAAAGGGACCCTTGCTAGTATTTTGGGCTTTGAAGGTAACAGGGGAAAAACATACTTTAAGATTTGCACAATTATATTAATATAACCTTACAGTAGAGTAGAAGTAGTACTTCTGGGTGGGCTTCTTGTCTGGACTACCTTACACAGCTGACACAGTTTAACCTTTTCCCTTATTAACATTGTTTATAAGTTATTATTTTAAAGGTAGCAACCAACTGCCAATTGTTTTATGGAGTTTTATTGGTTTTGTTTTGTCCACAGGTAGTTATTCATTATCAATAAGAGACCATGATGGACAAAATGGTGATGTTGTTAAGCACTACAAAATCAGAAGCTTAGACAATGGAGGCTATTACATCTCTCCAAGAATTACTTTTCCCTGCATCAGTGATATGATCAAACATTATCAGAGTAAGTCAGCAGCTTTTTTAAAAAATTGCCTGTCAAATACTAGCCAAGACTGAAAACATTTCTGCATTTGAAATTCAAATCGATTTGGACTTACAAAATAAATTGTGTCAAGAGTGAGCATCAGTATAAGTCCAGGAGAATTCTCAGAAGGGTAGAGATTGAAATAATCAAAAAGCATATATCAAATACGTGAAACAAGGATAAGCTAAGTGCAGATTGAGGAATATCAGATTGGCTTGAAATAGAACATTTTTCAGATTATCAACATTGCAATTATTTGTATAACACTGTGGCAATCTTGTGAACATATTTGCTCTGGGAAAGAAAAAACACAGTTGATATTTAAGGGAGTGCAATTTAGTTCATTCACAATAATGTTTTATATAGCTATCTTCAGACCTTTCTTTTCCCTTTATGCCTATCTTCACTGCTTTGTCAAGCTATATCTGATTACTATGCCTTAAATACTATTCCGTGTTTCTTTGAATGTATAATGCATGGCAAACATCTATGTTTAGTTAAAAATACAAGCATTAATTTCATATTTCTAAGGTTGAATATTATGACTGATATAAGAAAAAAATTATGTTTTATCTGTTATAATTAGCAAATATATATTTCACTAGATATTTACCTATTAGTGGCACAAGGTAGCATTTCATCAAGTAAATTGAAAATAAGAAAGGCTGCATAAGTGCACATAGTTCTAATGTAATTATTTCCATATAATTTTCTTTGGCTGTATCCCAGAATCACACTAATCTTACTGATAGCCCACTTGTGGGTAAAAAACGAATGCCACAGAATCTGCGGCATTAAAAATTAACCCTTTCTTCTAGAAAGAAAATACAGGTATATGATCTCTGAAAGTCTCTGATACAAATATAGGATGTTTATTTCTAAAACAGAGCAAGCAGATGGTTTATGCAGAAAGCTAGAGAAAGCATGTATTAGTCCTAAACCACAGAAACCGTGGGATAAAGATGCCTGGGAGATACCTCGAGATTCAATCAAATTAGTGAAAAAACTTGGAGCGGGTCAGTTCGGAGAAGTTTGGATGGGTAAGGTACTCATTTCATATGGACAATTTCTCAGATGCTTGTAACATGTAAATGGCAGAGGGTAAGCAGGAGAGAAGAGGGGAACTGTGGCTCCTGAGTCTTCCTTGTAATATCCATCATGGCCATGATTACTGAGAATGGGGATTCTGTTTTCTGCCATCTTGAGGCAGAAAATACATGAAAACAATACGATAAAGCCCAAAATTGGCTTAACACTGCTTTGACATATAAAAGGATGTCTAAATCCTTTCCCAAAATTAAAACAAATAATCACCACACATAAAGCAAACCTTAGAATACTTTTCTACAATGATATCTGTGTTCCTCAATTGAGAAAAGCATTATTTTGCATTCAAAGGATGTACTACATTGCTTTGTACTACATGTTTCTTTTCAGTGATACAGTGCAGGAAATGAATAAAATCCGAGTGTTTGGAAAAATGAATTTTTTTTTTTCAAAACTGAGGTTCTGTATTCAAATAAGTGTGTGGCCTATCAGCTTCCTCCATTATTCTCTGTTGCTTACTCATCAGACTCATAGGAAAGCAATTTAATTGTTTCTCAACTATTAATTATTTTTTCAGATTCATGGGGGAGGGAGGAGACAGAGAAGTTTAATCTGATACTTAATTGTTGTGAACCTTATTAGGCATTGGTAAAGAGTGATCTTGCTGGTACTTCTTGTAAGCATAATTACTGGTATTGGATTTCTTTCAACAATCAAGAAACAATGGTATTGTTCAGTATCATTGAACTGAGTGATTGTGTAAGAAAAGAGAGATTACAGAAGGCGTCAGAGAATGTGTACATCCTTTTCCCAACATCCTCAAATAAGTTGTCAAAAAAAAAAATCCAGTATGGTCCCACATTCCCAGATGTTGCAGCTCCTAAGGTCATGAGTAAGCAAAATGGGCCTTTGCTGTTGCCCAATTACTCTGAACATTTCTTCGGTCAGATGTTATAAAAAAAACTATTTGGTCATAGCATGAAACTATGCTTTATGCAGTACTTGGCACATAATGCTGGCTAGCCAGTAACAAATCTTGGCTATGATTCTTGGCTTCAGTTACAGTCAAGTTTTCGTTTGCCCACTGAATGACTGCCTCTCTGCCATGCCTTCACTTCCTGTCACAATGGTGACTGATTTGTTAATTTAATGTAAGACATGCAGATATAGTATGCTTCTCAGGCATCATCTTCGGATGGCTATTTAGTACACCCGTACCAAAAATTAGGCAAAATGAATTAACATACTGTAGGTTAGTGAAGTGCTGTCATCTGCAAAAGGAAGAACCGATTTCAGGAAGTTATGTTCCTGCATCTTTATGTAAAAAAGAAAGGGAGGGTATTTCTGGTTCAAGATGTTTCCTCTTGTTTATGTAGCCACTTTGACATCTAAATTTGGCATGCTGTAACCCTTTAAAGTAACTGCTAGACAATGACAAAATTACTGCAATGAAGAGAAACTACAGGTTGCTATTGCTAATGTCTGCCAACATGCAAATTAGCTTGTCATACGCCTCATACAAATATGTCCTGGAACTGATCACACTCTATAGATTTTAGTTTTTTTTGTCTTTTCAAAATAACATATATTTTGCCTTGTTTACTCCATAATGATTTTAGTGTGACAAAGAAACCCAAGAAAGTTAATGAAAGGGAGATACTAATCCTTTATTATGTTTTAAATTGTATAGAAGAATAACTTTTTTAATCCAGTGGCCAAAAACAGCAAAGAATCTCACAACATTTTACATCCTGGACTATATTATAACATGAGCTCTCATAGGCAAGAGGAAATCTATTTCATTAGAGAGTATCTGCTTTGTGGAAAAAAATTGCATGCAAGAGATTATATAATACGTTCACTTAGGAATACATCCTAATTTTTATGGGAATTAATCATATGGAAAAGGAAGCACAATCTGATAAAATTTATAAAAATGCACAAAGTAAAATACAAATTAAATTAAGAAAAACTTTGGAACAGGATTCTGTCTAAAAATGCATATGAAGTCAAATAGAATCAAGATCACATGAAGTATTAATACCATTTTACAATGCCTTGGTAAGGCCACACTTGGAATACTGCATCCAATTTTGGTCACTACAATGTAAAAAGGATGCTGAGACTCTAGAAAGAGTACAGAAAAGAGCAACAAAGATGATTAAGGGACTGGAGGCTAAAAGATATAAGGAATGGTTGCTCGAATTGGGTATGTCTAGTTCAGGGGTAGGCAACCTTGGCTCTTTTATGGCTCGTGGACTTCAACTCCCAGAATTCCTGAGCCAGCCATGCTGGTTCAGGAATTCTGGGAGTTGAAGTCCATGAGTCATAAAAGAGCGAAGATTGCCTAGCCCTGGTCTAGTTTAACGAAGAGAAGGATGACGGGGGGACATGATAGCAGTGTTCCAATATCTCAGGGGCTGCCACAAAGAAGAGGGAATCAAGCTATTTTCCAAAGCGCCTGAAGACAGGACAAGAAGCAACGGATGGAAAATAATCAAGGAGAGAAGCAACCTAGAACTAAGGAGAAACTTCCTGACAGTTAGAACAATTAACCAATGGGACAACCTGCCTCCAGAAGCAGTGAATGCTCCAACACTAGAAGTTTTTAAGAAGAGTCTGGACAGCCATTTGTCCAAAAAGGTGTAGGGTTTCCTGCCTGAGCAGGGGTTTGGACTCAATGATCTTCAAGGTCCCTTCCAACATCATCATCATCATTATTATTATTATTATGGATCATCGCACAGTCAGCCAGATGTTCAGATTGGATTTGGCATTTTGTCTACCTATCGATTATTATTATTATTATTATTATTATTATTATTATTATTATTATTATTATTACTACTACTACTACTACTACTACTACTACTACTACTACTACTACTACTACTACTAGCACAGCCAAGAAGATTCAGACACAAAATCATTTCTAGTCAGTTTAGTTGAGTGATCATGGGCCTAACCTCCCTCATTACCTGGGGAAAAATGTCAGTCATATATGCAATTTTGTATAATTTTGAGAAACAGCTATCCTTTATTTAGCTACCTAGTATAAAATAAATTAAATGTATATAGGGTCTCTCTGGATTCTTGTCATGAGTTCGTCATTACTATTATATTCTTTCTTGCAGTTTAGGTGTAAGAAAGTCATTCAACTATTTAAAAGCTTACTGTGCTCTTTTATAGGCCTAGAAGTTTTCTGAGTTGGAAGTATGGATATAATAAAGCAGCAGCATCTTTTTTTGTGTATCACATGGAAGCCTGAAAAAAGATTGCTTCAGTGAATAACAAACTTTGCATTTAATAAATGCACGATCCAAAGTAGTTCTTCCAGATCAATTATTATGTGGGGAACACCCGGCTGGATAAGGCTGGATGTTTGCCTATATATTCAGCATAGTACAAGGGGTCATGTCTAGAAATTTACATTTAAGCAGATTTGTATTAATTGAATACAAATAATAGTAATTACTTTTGGATTGGTCATCAATTTCATTCTAGGTTACTATAATAACAATACCAAAGTGGCAGTTAAAACTTTGAAACCTGGTACTATGTCCGTCCAAGCATTCCTAGAAGAAGCCAACCTGATGAAAACACTTCAGCACGACAAGCTGGTCAGACTATACGCTGTAATCACCAAAGAAGAACCTATTTACATTATAACAGAATTTATGGCAAAAGGTAGGAATTATCAAATATAGTGTTAAAAATATTATTATTGATAGTCATTAGCTCTGAAGTAGTGATATAATCTACATTAACTTCTGAATCTTGGCAGGACTGTTGGCTTCTCATCCTGAACTTTGGCTTTTTTTCTGGACAAAACTGTTCTTCATAAATTAAAGTACCTTGCAGGAATATATTACACATAACGTTCTTTCTCTACCTGGTTTCGCCAGATATGCTTAAGAGTAAAAATTCAAGAATTCCCAGAAAGCATGGTTATGTGGAGGTCGAAGTCCTAACATGCTTGAGGAATGAAGATATACAATAGAAATGTTTACAAATTCATTTGGTGACTAAATTCACAGTTTGCACTTATCCATAATAGTTTAAATTCAGTCAACTGTGGGTTATGCAGTAAATCATAATCTAAAATTGCATACTTTAGCACAATCTAGAAAACAAGATGATCAGAACACTTGAGTATTATTTGTATTTATTGTCAATATACTTGCTTTATCCACACAGGAAGTTTATTGGATTTTCTGAAGAGTACAGAAGGGACAAAATTACTACTACCAAAGCTCATTGACTTCTCAGCTCAGGTAAACAAAACTAGATATAAATTTAAGAAGCAGTGTGTTCTTGTTGCTATAATAAAATAATAGAACTATGTGACTAGATTGAAGTATATAAACGGTTACCAAACTACACAGTATAATAGGATGTAACTGGGCTCAACCTGATTACAGGCATGTAAAAGTATCCCTTGAAAACCATAATTATGGTTTATCAACAACACTAATATTATTATGTAAATTTCAGTTTAAGAATGAAACACTAATCAATTGTGTTTATAGAGCTTTCAGCCATTCCAAATTGTTGCCTCGGCTTTTCTGATGTCATGGAATAAGTATTCATATTCTAACTTCAAGGAATAACATAGCAGGAAGAAGTATTTTTTCTGCTTCAGAACAGTTCTTGCAGTCCTTAGGTGCTTATGATTATGATGGCTATTTAGTACTGCAAAAGTGAATACAAGAAATACCAACTAGGTGTGACTTCCCAAGAAGACTCTTTGTTGATATCGGTTATGAATTTGAGAAAAGAGAATTGAAGACCTATTATGACTAATCTTTGGATCATTACAAAAAATCATTAAGAACTGAATTTCTTTAGCCATATAAATACAATTTCAAGTCAATTTAAAAAAAGGAATAGAAACTGGGCTCCTTCCAATTAGTTTAGAAATCTTCGGGATTTGACTGAGTTTAAAGAAGGGTTCATTTAAATCCCCCCAATCTCCAGTAAGAAGAGGAAATAACTCTTGTAGAGGATAGGCCCCGTTACTACTAGGAAGCAGATGCAGTGAAGCTAAGGCCATAAAAAATAAGTTAGAAGAGCGGAAGAGAAACAGACTGCATTTTGTAAAGAGTGTTTCATCTTACATCTTCTTTCTTTCTCATTAAATAAAATAGCAACTAGCTAGAATACATTACTATCAGCTTAGGCCAGTATATACCACAGATCATAATACTAGATAGCAGTAAGCCTTCTAACAAGTATGCTTTGAACAGGAACTTAATTTTCTGTTGTAAAATTTAGCCCAATCTACTTTAACATCAGCAACTCTTTATATCTCTGTTTAAATTGTTTAAACAGAGGTATAAAGTGCAGTGAATTATTTTCTGTGAACATTCCAGCTTTGTTTTCAAAAACTTTATAAATCGTATTTTAAATTTGAAGTCATGCATTTTTATTTTAAACATGCATTTAATCTAAAGAATATTTCTCATATTTTAAAAGAAGCATTCAGCAATTACGACAGTAGAATGAGAAGTGCCAGAAGAAATTTTCCATTACCTGACCTCAAGAAGAGGAACAAGAAGAGAACAATTTCTCTTTTTACGTATGCTTATCTGCATTTAAAGAATGTGCAGACACCTAATTACAGTATTGCAGTTTATGAGTTGCTAAAACTCATTGACTTTGTTTATTCAGTTCAAATTCTTGTTTTAACCTTTTAAAGTCATTATGGCTTGACTGATAAGTGTATGCCAGATTTAGGTACTTTCGGCCTATTTGGTACACAGGCATGTGATTTAGGCTTGGAATACCCTACATATATGAGCTGGAAAGAGTGGGGACAAAAAAGGGAGTACAGTTAGTCCTCGACTTACAACAGTTCATTTAGTGACCGCCTGAAGTTACAACAGCATTGAAAAAACGGCACTGACTTATGAATGTTTTTCAGTTACAACCTTTGCAGCAGCCACATGGTCACATGATCAAAATTTAGATGCTTGGCATCTGGTTCATAATTACGACCGTTGCAGATTCACTTAAAAATCATGTTACTAACAACTGCAGTGATCCACTTAACAGCCATGGCAAGAAATGTCATTAAATGGGAAAAAACTCACTTAACAACAGAAATTTTGGACTCAATTATGATGTAAGTCGAGGACTACCTGAATATATTTCTTTGGTATTCCAGCCTTATGGAAGTTGTTCACCAAAAGTTCAGATGGCACCTATCTGGCCATCTTTCTGTCCTAGGTTTGTTGAAACCCTAATGAATCCTTTACCAATATTGTCATTCTCATTGTACATTAATAACATAATGTATTGACATTATTTTGCCTTATTCTTGACTTATGGTATGTTGTTATAAAACAATACATTATAAACTGTTCTTGATGCTGCAGTACATCTGTTTAATAAATAAAATTAAGGACCCTTCAAAGATTTGCAGCCCTAATAAATTTTAGAAAAGCAATTGCCATCAAAATCAAATAATGTGTATTTTAAAAATATAAATTAAATATCAGTTTTTTAAATAGAACACTACTGGTGACCACTTGCTTTGTCTCTATTTTTATCGTTTGGAAAGAAATGGAAAATGTCATACTTGTATTTAGGCCGCTGGCCTCTGGCTTGAAAACAGATCCAAATATAACTTTTAGACACATTTTACAATGTAGTGTAAATATTGCATGAAATATTTTTAACAAAAAGGTTATAAATTTTTACAAATATTCTTCAGATACAAATAAAAGAAGATATTAGGTTTGTATGTAAATTGTTATTTTTAGATATTTTTATGCATATAGGCAACACGGTAGAAAAATCAAAACCTTTTTATCTCTTCTTGCAGATTGCAGAGGGGATGGCATACATTGAAAGAAAAAATTACATACATCGGGATCTGAGAGCAGCAAATGTTTTAGTTTCAGACACGCTTATGTGTAAAATTGCTGATTTTGGACTTGCAAGAGTAATTGAAGATAATGAATACACAGCCAGGGAAGGTTGGTACTTTTTTTTTAATTTTAATATATTTAATGATAGGGGAGATTTTTTCCAGTGATTCGTAGATGTTTCTAATCAATAAATTGTAATACATTAAATTTTTAATATATATTTAATATATTAAATTTAATATATTGAATAATGTATTATTTTCCATAAGACAAACAATCCGGTGGAGGTGAGGTTGTGTGGGGAGACATCCAATGCATTTCTATGGAAGAGAGATTTGGACAGCAACCTGAAATTTGGGCAATTGCTCCATTCTAAGGATCCCTTCCTCTTGGTTGCATAATTCAGAGCAAAGAGTATGTAGCCAACCTGAACTTCCTGTGTCATAGTCACACAAGTAGAGGAAACACATTACTTCATTATAAAGAAAATAATGTGGACACTTTCTATGACCACTGCTGGAAAAGGGGTAGAAAGAATTCCAGAAGCCATGATCTGTATGTTTCCCCTGCTTGTTCTCTGTTCAAGAAGGACAATTATGGTAAAGTAGGGGATGAGGAGGAAAACAGATTTCTATGTTTTCCTAGAAGACATTACCCAGTCACTTCATAATTCTTTCCAATTTCTTAATTACCTTTCACTTTTTAATGTCTAGATTTAAGATGGAATTATTTATACTTCCACAGGTGCAAAGTTCCCTATCAAATGGACAGCACCAGAAGCCATTAACTATGGTTCTTTTACTATTAAATCAGATGTATGGTCCTTTGGAGTTCTTCTGTATGAAATAATTACTTATGGAAAAATTCCTTACCCAGGTTTGTGCTTCTTCCTGTGTATTGTTCTGTTCTGTTTATACTATACAGAGAAATATCAGAGTCAATAAAAGGAACGCATTAAACATAGTTACTTGGCGAAAGGTGAAAAGAAAAAGATGGTAGGAAAGTGTGGGTGCAGCTGCATTAGGTGGAGCAATGTTTTATTATCTAAGCCATAATAAAGCACCAGTATAACCCACAATTAAGTAACTAAAATTCAGCAATTTAGGCTGCTTCACTAGTTGCATCTTTTCCTAACAATGTAAGTGTAAATCTGATTATTCTTACATAATTGGACAAATGGCTCCTATTGTTGTGGACAAAGGTGGGAATTTGGTGAGGAAAAAATGCATGTGAACCAAACCTATTGCAATATTCAGAGGCCAAAACAATTGAGGTTTGGTCCTACCCATTCCCGGGTTACAAAGAGCATTTCATCCTTATTCAGCTGAGCATACAGTGTCAAGTCTTTTTCTCCAAAGCTTAGAAATAAGAAATTTAGATTAGGCTTTTGGAAAACAACATGCCCCTTTTTGTGTTCTGAAGTTTTTATGATTTCCATAATAACCTAATTTTTTTAGGTTAAAGAAATCTTTCCAAATATTGCATTTCTCCAATAAGCAAATCCTGCCCATTTTGTGAATAATGATATAAGCACATGATTTACCTTAGAAATGTATATTTTGCTTTTCTAAACCAGCTCATCTTGTTTTGATATAATCAGATCAACCATATTAAAAATACTTTTTTTAATTATTTCAGGTATGAGTAATTCTGATGTAATGGCAGCCCTTCAACGTGGGTATCGCATGCCATGCATGGAATCTTGCCCCTCTGAGCTTTATGATATTATGAAAACATGCTGGAAAGATAAAGCAGAAGAGAGACCAACATTTGAATATTTACAGAGTGTCCTTGATGATTTCTACACAGCTACTGAAGGACAGTATCAGCAGCAACCATAGAAACAATTGTTGCTCTTCTTTCCAAATGGCAGGGACCTTTTAATAAGACAATTTGATTGAGCCAATTCTTTTATACTTACATACATACATGTGTTGGAATACCCTAATTGCTTGTGGTACCAAAATTGAAAGCTAGAGCTCAAGTGGGCAAGACAGATCCTGCTGAAAGCTTAACAGTTTTTTTCTTCTTCACTGATGCTTTCTTTGTATTTATATTAAGTAAACAACTAGTTGAAATGAATTATAACAGAAGATCATTCTCTGTATAAAATCATGATGCACAACTGAAACTCCATGAAGGCAATCAACACTTACTCCAAATAGCCATGTGCAACATGCTTCTGGAAAAAAAATATTAGTCTGTTTTACAGCTGAGCTACAAGTTATATGAACTGCTGCATTTTGTTTGCTGAAAAGCTACCAAAGATCAGATCCCTTTATCTTTCTGCCATTTCTTTGAAAAAAAAAAAAAAAAAATGTTTTTGTAAAAATCCATTCTTTAAGCATGACTCAAATTTTCTCTTTAAAGATATCCTTCAAAAACAGGTATATGAAATATGCTGGAATTAAAAAGAAATGATATCACTTTACAATAATCTTGTGTGATTTTCTGCAATTCAATATTCCTAGTTTTTTTCCTTTCTGATTATGTCATTTTATTAACTTTTTAAGGGAAAATCCAACTAAAATGTTTAGCTTTAGAAATACAATTGCATATTGCAACTATAAGTAGTATGTTTTGGCACAGATAAATTATATGGGGGGAAAATTGAAGTTTTGTTTTTTATAACACATTTATAAGCAGGAGTCCTAGAACACAATTCACAATAAACAATATGGTAGACTTCCAAAGACATCTCACAATTCTGTGCATCAGGATTTTTAGTAATTGTCTCCCCCCCACACACGCACACACAAACGTACGTGGGAGGACAGCATTTTGGATGAATCTTCTGAAATGCTTTTCACCACTCCATTATTATTGGAACACCATGATTATACCTGTGCTCAGTAGTGCTGGTCAATACTGTTATATACTTTTAATGAAGAAATTTATTTGGTAGACTGGTAATCAGACTGTCAACTTGTAAATACAATTTCAGTGTTTATGTGATTTTAATAAATAAGCATTTTGAAAATATGAACCAATACAATGTCAATTTCTTACTCCTTATTACAATAATGGACAGTTTCTTTAACAAATTAATTCTCCTGGATTTACTTTGGAGAATTAACTTATCTGTTCCAGAAATATGATCATCTATCATGGAGTTTTGAGTGCATCAAATAGATGTTGTAGCTGGTCAGTGATAAAGGATGCTAGAAACTGCCCTTAGACAATATCTGGAATATCATAAATTTTCATTTTTCCTCTAATGTAGCTTCTCTTGTAATCATTACAAGATATTTTCAATTACATATGTTTATTATCATAAAATAAATATTTCCATAAAATATTTTATAGCTTTTATAGTTCTTTTTCCTTTCCTTGGAATTTTTAAAATACATTTTATTATGGACCAATAAATCCATATTTTTTAGAAACCAATTTGGATTTTTGAACAAATACTAACAACTGAAGAGAATGAAAGCACTTCTCACATTTACCCCATATTCCTCTGGCAGGTTAATTTCTGCAAAACATCAGTCTCCTTTTACTAATTAAATATATAAAGTTATGCAAATTTAATGTCTCAGGAACTCCATATGTTTTATTTCATTTATTTGAAAAGAGAAAAATTACAGATGTTGAACATATACAAATGAAATATAATACTTTATTGGTGTCAAACAACTAGTTACAATAGTATCAAAATATGAACAATGTGTCAATTATTAAAATCGTTGTCCTGGCTGAATTCCTGGGAAGCAAAAGAACAAAGGTAAGGTTGCTTTCTGCACATTTTCACAATGGTTATAAACCTAAGATACGTGAATGTTTAAGATCTAAATATTACATGTACTTGTTATAACAATTTAAAAAATCAGTTTACAAAAGAAGAAAACAGGAATGAAGGAATTTTAGAAGAAGCCATAGTGTTCTTAATGTAAATATTATGTAGCATGCTTCCCTCATCTAATGTCCATGAGATATGTTGGTAGAATAACTTCCTGATACAACAGCAAATTCTATGGGTTGTAATCCCACCATGAGGAAGATGGCAAATTTAGCACTGGTAAAAAATTGCAACTTGTTTCAAGTGAACTCTTTTACGTCCATATTACCATGAACAAAATACAGAACATTTTATTCCTTTCAGATTAAGCTTATATCCCTATGGTCTCCAATTTTATAAGTTTTGGTTCAGTATGTTTATTTCATGTGCTACTGACACCAATCTGGGTGATGCAGAAGGTGGCTCCTCGGGTTTTTCCAGCTCTTTACTTTTCATTGTCCTAGGACCATCTGTTACTAATATTTCAGACTTGCAAAGAAGCCCTTTTTGGATTTATGTTGTTTAATACTTTCTGCACCTTTGCTTTCTTTTAATTCTTCTCGTAGGTGAGATAATGTGGCTTTAAGTTCATAGTCACATTTAGTCCTATTTTGAAGCCCAATGATTTCTTGTTCCTATGAAACCAAGATTTGTTTAAATAGAATTAAGAACATTGCCTTTTTAAATCCTCTTGTCCTAGTTTCTTCTGAAGTTGCACATCCTAACTGAATAGTTACATTTTTTTCTTAAAATATGGGGAAGAGGCTCACCAACATTGCTCTCTATTCTAATTGTAATGTAGTCACGGAAAACAAAGTAAATAGAATTTGATATTCAATCTCACGTGGTTGTTCAAGGTTCTGAAAAGTCACCACAGCCATTTCCAATAGAATATTATTAACAATCAAGATTTATTCATATCAGATTACTGTAACTTTAAATAGTGCCTTGAAAGCTGAAATTCCATTTAGTGTTTTATATTGGAGTTGCTTAGATAGTGACATGGGAGGCATGTTCCTTTGATAAATAAGTAAAATTATAAGTGGTCTTTGTTTAACAATAACAATGTGATTTATGACTTTTCTGATAGCTTCCCACAAGAAAAATCAAAGAGGAAGCTGGCAGAAAGTGGGAAGTTGCAGTCACATGAGGGTAAGGCTCTCATTTAACAAACCACACAGTCCTTGCTTAACAATGGCAACCAGGACCACTGGAACTGCTGGCACTAAGTGGTTGGTCATGTGTTTTTGGACTTTCAATCTGGTCACTTAAAAATGGAGTCTCCAATCTCAATTAGCATTGTTAAGTGATAAATTACCTATAGTCACAATTACTTTTTAATTGAAAAAGCAAAATCATAGTGAAGAAGCTAAAATGGTTTTAAATAAGGCCAAGAGCACAGAAGAAGCTTTTGGAAAGCGTATCTCAGCATATTATTTTGAGTCTTGTAGCAGAATAGTGCCAAGCTAACACATAGCTCCAAATACATATTGAACAGATATATGACCAACCTTAAGCCTCACCATCTGCTTTAATGTACTGTCCTCCTCAACTATTTTTCTATATTCTTCTTTGGCATCTTGCAGCATTTCATTTAACTTCTGAATTTTCAGTTTCAATGATTTTATTAACTGCAAAACAAAATGTTTGAATGTATTGAGAATGGTGCTATAGTCAACTGGCAACTTATGACCTTCATCATGCTACATGAAACTATTAAATGTTTTATAAAATCTAGATATGTTAGGAGTATAACTTTTTCTAATATGCTGGCAAATATTGTGAGTCATATCCAATCCACCAGGAGAAAAGCCAGTTGGGAAAATAAATTTAGCACTAAGATTAAAAATTACAATTTGCTTCAAAAGAACCCTTGACATTCTTTATTGTCTTCCAACTCTTAAAAATTAAAAATTAAACAGGCCTTTAATATACTTCTCTAGATGTTATTATTGAAATGCCTACTTCACTTCCTTCCCCACTTCTTTGCTTTTCTTTTGTATTTAGATCCTATTGGTCTATATAGAGAATGATGATGATAATGTGCATTTTAGACTCCAAATTGCTATTACCAGTATTTTTATAATAAACAATGAAGTTACCTTATCTCTCTTTTTACATGGCTTCTGTAAAGCATCTGAAGTTTCTTCCATCATCTTGCATTTAGCATCTGTGAACACCAAACAAGGGTTAGAATACTGACCCGCATTCTAAAATGAATGCAAGGCTCAGGACACAGATCTCTTACCTAGATCCATCTTCCATTTGGTAGAGTCTAAACAGGGATTTTCTGAAAACAGGCTGTTTTGTTCTCCAAGTTTTAGTTTCAGTTCTAGTATGTTCATTTCTCTTTCCTGAGCAATAATATTATATAATAGTTTAGGGCTTCATACAAATCACACATTTTTAGAAATGCAGCAAAAATAATTTTGAATGTTGGTGTAACACGATTCTTCTTCTTCCCTCCTCCAAAAAATCTTATTTAATTCAAAACCTATTTCCTTAATCAAAATGAAACTTTGCAAAAAGCACAAGAAACTGTTTATGCCTCATGCTTCTTTCTGTTTTGGATTACCAGTATTGAATTTGTAAATAATTTTATTTCTAAAGTTTTTTTATACTTCTGCTCATTGTAAGCAGAGATTTTATGAAGTTAGGTGGCCATATAAACATGACAAATGTGACCAATAAACAAACCAGGCATTCAGTGTACTCCAAGATATATTTTCATGTTTTACACTTAGCAACTATACTTTGGAATAGAATTCCTGGAGCAAACTATACAAAAATGCCAAAATCTATAATAGGTTAAATCCAGACATACCTGAACCTTTTCTTGTTCAGCTATGAATTCTTCTATCGGAACATAGCGTTCTTCAACTTGGTCCATTGCACATGTGTATGCGTGCTTCTTTATGGCATCTTTATACATTTCAAATTTATTCTCCAATTTTTCTTCATAACTTTCTTTCAAATCTTCTAAGCGTTTACTGGATTAGCAAGGTGCAACAACCAGAACATAGGGAACTTTTTAGCACTTAATTATTGGTATATTGAATTGCTTTGCTCAGTTACTTTGATTTCAACTGATAACCATTGAGAATGATCAGTATTCTGCTAACATGTTTCAGATTCCAGCTGTTTGGCATTTCCTTTAACATATGGGCTTGCTCAGAATTTACCATATCTAGATCAGGATATGGATGTAAGCTTATGTTCATATTCAATATATCCCACTTCCCAGATAATGCATCTATAAAAAGAAAATATTTGTAGCTCAGGGTTGAAATGAGGGGTTCTTGGTACTCTCTTACAGATGTTTCATTACCCAAACTTGGTAAAATCATTAGTGCCAGTTCAGTGAGTCCCAAAGACCCCTAATGCATCTATCTTATTCTCCACTAGTCAATAGAAAGAATCATCTTCATCAATCCATTTGTCTTGTCAGGTCATTTTAGCTTTGCTTGAAATACTTCATAAAGTAAAATCACCTTCAAGTTAAACAAACTCAGTTCCTGATGAAATACATAAGCAAAATCATGCATCATTCTACGCAGAATACAGAAATGGTTTGCCATTCCATCCCCTTTTCTGAGTGTTTGTTATTTTTTATTTATAACTCTCCAATCTGCCCTGAAAGCTTGAATTTTCCAGGTGGTTTCTCTATCCAAGTCCTAACAAGGTCTAAACCTTTTGCTTAGCAAAAGTTGGCTAGATTCCGCCATCAGCTATGAGAACATTACTGCCAAGCAGAGTTTTTATTTAGCTAATTCTTTACACCTACGGTATTTCTGATAATTTTATCCAGAGAAATATTAAATAACCTGGAATTACAGAATAGAAAAGATACTGTAAGGCTAGTTTGACTCATTATCAAATCCATTAACAAGGGCTGTTAGCAAATTCCTCCCTGCCTGTGTTGAAGATGCAAATGTCAAAGGCACTGATTCTTCAGCACCTTGTGATTTATTGATCATAAGGCAAAAATATGGTATAACTAAACCAGTGCTTGTCAACTTTGATAACTTTAACATGTATGGATTCAAGTCCCAGAATTCTCCATCCAGCCATGCTAGTTACAGATTTCTGGGAGTTGATGTCCACACATCTTAAAGTTGCCAAGATTGACAAACACTGAGCTAGAGAGTTAAGGATTTTCTCTATTACTCTATTTGCACTGTGCCCAAGTTATTGCTAATTTGGGATCACTTTCTTTGTCTTGCTTTCATCCTAGGCATATACTCTTGAACTCTCCCTTGTATAGTATCTAGCTAGGTGCTCAGCATTGCCTGTCCCTGTAACATATTTCTTGCAAACAAATATCCTTTCTGTTATAATTCTCATTTTCAGGAATCCTCTCATACACAGAATGCTTTGCCTTCCAAATTGATTTTTGTTTAATGATACTTCCACTCAGGGCTTTTTTTGTCATAGAACACACCAGAACAGATTTTCGACAGATTTTCCAGAGTTGCATTCTTTTCCTATTGTTTCCCTATCTTCGTTTGTTTTTGAAAATGCCCCACAGGCAGTATAGTGTGAGCGGGGTCCCCTCTGGCGCTGTCTGTCTCCCCTAGGAGGAGCAATGAGGCAACAGAGCACCACAGCCAGAGCGTGGCTTGATTGGCTGGATCAGACCATGTGGTGTGGAAGCCGATGGTGGGAGACACATAAACATGGGAGACACATGTTTATGTGTTTATGGGAGACACATAAACATGGAGGCCATCTTTCACGAGAGGGCGAGTGAGCCTTTTGCCCTCCCTTACAGAAGGTGGGATGTGAGGTTAAAAAGAAGCAAAGGGAGAGGAAAGAAAGGTGGCTGGCGTGGAAGCTTGCCCAACAGCGAAACTTTGCTGTTTCAGTTCCTTGGGTAGTTCAAAGGCTGGGATCTCTTTTTAGTCTTTTATACTTTATATTCAAACTGCAGAGGGGAAGAATAAAAATAAAGCCAATGTGATTTGGAGGTATTATTATTATTAATAATAATATATTAATTATGTATTGGTCAGATGTAAAGGTAGACCTACAGCATAAGGTTTAATCAGATCTATTTATTAAATTGGGTTTAACTGAAAGGTAAATTAAAAATAATCTGTTCACTGATGAAGTTTCAACTTTAATTTGTTTCAAGTCAATATCCATATTAAACTCCAAATGCAAATTTTTCCACCTTGTTTGACAACTTCTTAAAAATAATTCAATCTTTTACAAGCAACCAAATTTTGTTTTATTGGGCCAATTTCATTCCACATAGAAAGCTGACATTTCTACTCATTAAACTAAATGGGTATGCCAGTGGTAAATGTCCCAAGAGATTAATAAAATGCCTTCTTGTAATTTAAAGCCACACAGTGCATGTAGCACTAATAGTATTAACTTACCTTGAACAAAATCCTAGTCTTTTAGATACAGTAAAAATTGAAAGTTTTTTTTTTCAAATACAAAGGTAAACCTTGTAGGACAGGCAAGGCAGGTTGTATGATTTGTGTGAGTTCCAGCACCTTTTTTTTTTCCAGAAAAAACACTGCTTCTAGTGAATATAAGTGTTTTGGTAAACAGCAGTATTTCTTCTTGTATAATATTTCATAAAACATAAATGATATGTAAAGCCTTGGTCTAATAATCACTTCCAAATAAATATGCATGAATTGAATAAGCCATGTATTTTAGCTTTCTAAAGATGGGATAACTTTACTGATAGTTGGATAGAATATGGACGTGAAATGAAGTATCAAAATTAGAAGCTCTAATTCCATAATATACTCCACAACATTACCAAGTTTTTCTGAGTATTATAGAAGCATACAAGTGCTCAAAAGTCTTGGAAATTATGTGGCTTTTTTTAGAACAGCCAAAAATATTTAAACAATTGCCATACTTTTTTAATTTTAATAAAGCAAATTGCAAATCAGTTTTAAACTAATTATTTTGAAGTAACTGATACACAGAATTAAATAAGGTAGATCAGGGGGTCTATCTTTGCTGCAGTTTATATTCATAATTGGATGTCTTTTATTTTAACTGCTGATTCATTTTGCTACTTTTGAAATCAGACAGGCAGATGACTTTTGTCAGTCCTTCCTTGGCCTACCTCCAAGCTTCTTCTGTTTCCATAAGTTGCTGAAACATTGCTTTGGCCATCTCTTTGCGTATTTGGACTTCAAGGAGTAATTTGCCTTGTCTCTCTGCAATCAGTTTATCCTTTAGCATCTCTGTGGTTTTCAAGAGATCCTATAATGCCAACATGAACCACATATAGAAACATGAATCTCAGGCTGTGCAGTACTTCTAAAAATGGCCCAATGTACTTCATATATGAGCTGTATTGACTTTAAAACTTATTCTACTAAAAGCTTGGCCCAATTAAGTATGTCATCTTTTGTTGTAATAAATGGAAAAATTATCCCCATTGAACTGGTAGCTGATCTATGGCTGCTATAATTGTTCATGCAGAAGGCAATAGGGTGATTTCTCAACTAAGAATGCATAACATTGTAATGCAGGAATAAATATATACTGTGTACCAGTGACTCCTTGTGTTTTACTGTAAATTTACATATGTTTCAGAATGAAACTGCTAGGCAAGGAGCATAATTCTTAAATTCCTGCCGTTCTCATTTAGGTTCTAAAATTCACTAGTGGTGATGAGCAATTGAATCTTTTTTAAAAAGTCTTTATTTTAGATATTGAATTCCAGAAAGTAAACAGATGGGGAGAGGTCTAAATGTATCATATGCATCCACTCCAGTCTGAATTAAATCTTGTGTAAAAGATGCAGTCATCTTTATTTATATTTGTAGTTCTATAGAAAGGTTCCCAGATAATAGAAAGCTATTCCAGTTTCTCAAAAAACAAAAAAACAGGTTTTTCTCCAAAGAATGAGGCCTAAACCAGTGACTTTTATTGCAAGATGATCAATCTCCTCTGCTTTTTTCTGACTTCATTTTTACTTTCATATTTACTAAATTTACTACTAGGCCTGTAACACAATCAACATGTAGTCTGAGTTTACTTATCAAAGTTTCCAATCCTTAAATCATAGCTCTTATCTTGCCATGATTTTTTTTGCACATGCACAAACCACATCTAACTGCTTTGAACTAGAAATGTTCCTTCATTTCACCATGCCATAATGTGTTGGAGTCATCTGGTACATGAATTCAACCTTTCTGGATCTACAAATTTCAGCCTATGGTTTACAATTATGTTTTCCAACCAGCTATAATTTACACAATAAATTTTTGTTAAAGAAAGCACGATGATATTTTTTCTGAACATACTGTATTGTAAGGAATTGGTTTTTGACTACCTCATGGCTCAGAATAGTAATATCTATTTCCTCATCTTCAGAAGAAGAGGGAATATCAGCATACGTGGGAAATTGCTCAACTGATATTTCATTGAAATGCACTGTAGGTTTATCTTCCCTCCTGCTGTATTTTTGAGGAAAATAATCAAAGAGTTTGTGTTGAAATGTTGGAATAACCTAAAACACACAAACACAAAAACACATTTTAAGATTGATTAAAATGGAAAGATCATTGTTTTAATTTAATTTTTGTTTTTGTTTATTTTCTTTGAAAAACTATCAGAGAAATTCTATTAACTTAAGGGAAAAACTTTTAGATCATCAAGAGGTAATTTAATGATGGAGGACTGGAGATTCTGCTACTATAAAATAGATACCACTAACTATTTTTACTAGTTCTTACTAGCTATTTTAACCAGCTTTAGTACTTTCAGCAGTAAATATCCATTCACAGAGTAAATCTATGTACCCTGTCATTCAAAGTTAAACTTTCACCACAAATGTATAATTTTCTATTCTGAAGCAAACAACATAGAATTAGGAAATGTGTGTTCCATTCTATTTGGAAATTGAACAGGCAGTCTGAGGCTAGACGGAACTGGACCCCAACATCTGCGAATCTATAAACACCACACCTTTTATGTATACTTTCTATTGGAAAAATCACTAACAGCAGCTTCAACAATTGAATGCTATTGTCCTCACACTAAAATCGGTTCCGTATGTAGTGTGTAGTTCAGGTTAATTTTAATCATCAAAGAAGAAAGGAGTGAGTACAGTCAGCTTTTCAATTCAAACACGATAAGCTGCCAGAGAAAACAAACCAATCAATATGGCAAAAGATATGGTATCACAGGATATGTGATATGCTCACTATATTGTGAAGGATATAGCATCTTTCTTACTTGTTTTGCTACAGCAGAAAACTTCATTACATGAAGTGTTTCATCATAAGTGGAAGCACACTGACTAACGTTGACAATCATGCAGGCTTTGCCTTTACCACAGAAGAAGGGCTGGAAGAGGCGAGTCAGTTTACTCTCTCGGAAAGGAATATAAGTTGGCCTTAATCTTGGAATAAAGTTGTATAAATGTTAGCTTCAGAATCAGGATAATTTGCAAAATCCAAAGATGTAAGATAAGAGTGAGAGAGAGAGAAAGATAAACAAAACAAAGTTTTGGATAGCAATTAAAAAGTGTGGTCTTTGAGAAATAATACTGGCAAAAATAATTTGGAAAGTGTACAGTAAACTGTTCAAGGAACACTTCTGAAATATGATACAGATTTTGTATTTTTGTTACCTGCTGCAGTAAACAGTTGTATGATATGCTACAGATTATTTTAAAAGAAACCAAAACTATCCTTTCATACGATTTGAAGTTATTAATGTATTAAACAGTTTTAAATTGAAGTTTTCTTAAGCTTTATCTATATTACTTACTTTGAATTTTGATTTTGTTTCAGAGCTGCAATGCACTTTCCAAGAATAAGAAGAGAATTATTAATATTGCCAGCTTCTTTCAGTCTGTCTCCAAAGGTTTGAGCTTTATGGCATCTTTCTGAACCAGCCAGGTCACAGAGAGAAAGTCTATACAAATCAACAATATCTGTTTGATTTCTTTTGATCTTACACTAGATGAAGTAAATGAAAGCCACTGTTTTCATTAACATAGCTAAACTGTAAGGCTGTAATTGTGAAAATGAGTTCGCTTTCAGCTATTATACTACAATTCTGTAGCAAACAAGTATATGCACATAGTGATTAATAGCCTTATTGCCATTCGTCTGGACTACTGCAATGCAGTCTGTATGAAATTGCCTTTGAAGACTATCCAGAAACTGCATTGGAGTTAAAATGCAGGAGCCTGGCCATTAATAGGTGCCTGCTACTAAAAGCTGTACTGTGAGTCTTGCATTAGCTGCCAGTAAGCTCTAGGTACAATCAAAAGTGATGATTTTATATCACTTATGCTTAGAGTACCTTCTCCAACTAGAGAAGCTAATTCCTTCTTCGCAGAATTTAATTAAAACTCTTCTGAAGGAATGTTTGGAACTAATGGGATGTTCTCAACTATTTCTATGTATGCTTTTTGGGTTGTTATATATTTTTTATATTGTAAATTGTTCATCATGAATGTTTTAATTATGATCATGCATGGTTTACTGTTGTTAGCTGCTGTAAGCCTTGGAGATTTGACATCATACAATCAATCAATTCATCTACACTACTGTACTCTATCATTAATGAGGTGACACTTACTCAGAGATTCCAAGAGTACGTGGCATATCTTCATCACTTAAACTGAGGAGTCGAATAGAAAATATACTATGACTAGGAAAAAAAACATATATTGTGTTCTAATCTTTGTCAAGCATTTTAATATTTCATGTGGCATATAAATAGCATAACTATTATCATCAGTTCAGAAAAGTATTTGAGTAAATTTTTAATTTTGTGAATGCATAGCAAAAAAAGAAGGATATGTCTCAGATCTACAGAGCTCAGATCTACTGGCAATAATACTTATTAGTACTTAGGACAGGTTTACCTTAGTAGTACTTGGATACCAGAAGAAATATTTGGATGAATAAATTGATAGATATATGGATAGGAACATCTAATGTAATTAAACCTATTTCTGTGATGGTGACTAAATATTTCATGGCTATTAGAAAACCTTTGTAAGGCACATCCAAGGCTTTCACAAGCTGCCAGAACTGACAAATTTTTAGCTTGTTTGCTTTAAACAAGAATGAACATTCAGTGCACAGCTATTGATAAAGTAGCAAGGGCTGGTGTCTGATGCACAGGGTCATTTACTCCATTAAACCAAGATGGGATGACCATTGAGGTTTAGCTGTCCAATGATACAATTAGCTCTCCAGGAGTCCATCTAGTTTCTGGGACTGGACTGAGAGTAGACTGCAGTTCTCCAGTTCTTCCTATGGTCACTTTCCAGAATTTAATGGGAGGGGGGGGGGGAATTGACATCTGAGGCATGACACTTTCTGCTATTTAGCCTACTTGTTTAATATGGGGGTATTGTTTAACATTCTTGCAGATGAAGGTCAAATAGTTCACAGTGCTAGAAAAAAAATGAAATCTGCCAACAATTGTGGGTGGCAGGTTTTTTTTTGTTCTTTTTTTTTGCAATCCTATAGTGTAAGCTGTAGTAACCTTGTGTGCATGCTTTCTTTATTCCTTTTCCATCATACCACCTATTACACTTTGCACGTGATGTCATTAGCTCAAGGAGGAAGAGTAAAACTAAATTAAAAGAAGCAAACCTTCGACTGGATTGCTGGTTCATCTTGGTGCACGCCAAGCTTCTATTCTTATTTCCTACTTTAAGTATTTTACAAGCTTCTTCTGAATTTGTTACATTGACCCATTTTAAATCTGGGGAAGAAGATAACATTAGCACACATTAAAAATGAAACTATAATTCAATTAATTATATACAGTAACAACTGTTGCTTCTTTGCAGTGCAATCTTCTACATGAATATTCAGAAAGTACTCCTGCTGAGTTCAAACTAACCCTACTTTTGAATGCGGTGGATAAGAAAATGGACAGATATGGGATTCTTTCTTGTGCTTAGAAAACAATTCTTAGACCTTAAATAAAGAGATGACACAAGATGACTAAAAGAGAATAAAGTGATAACACAAGATAGGGTTTTGACTTCTCAGGAAGCCTTGAATCAAGATCAGTACAAAAGGCCTGTTTTATTGCCCAGAGTTGTCCCACTGTTTTTCACCTTAATTTTTGTGACACAGATTTCTATTTATAAAATAATATTCGAATTCTGGCCTGAGTTACATATCCCTAAAAAGAAACCTACATATTCAATAAAGCTGATGTTAAGATTAACCAACTAATCAGCATGATTATTAATAAAAATATAACGTTTTATAGGTTTTAGAACAATAAATTTACTATGCGTTCTTATCCAAGTTGTAACCTAGAAACCAAAGAAGTTAATGCAGGTGTCATCTTCTATTATGAAAAACGATTTTCATTAAATAAGAGACTCAAACTAGGTTACTTACTTTTGAAAAAATAGCAAACTTTATAAGAAACTGAGTGTTTGTTTACCTGCAATAAGCATTTCTGAATTTGTATAAGAGGAGAAATAGATTCCATCTGTGATTGCAAAAATTGTCTATGCTGGGCAATGTCCAAAAACTAACAATTGAGATACCAAAATAATGATTGAAACTGATTTTAGTAATTGTCTAGCTAAATGAATAACAACAAAGTGCCAGTGTTACCTTTAATGTAAAAGTTTCCTCCTTGATCCTCACAGATTCTTAAAACTTTGCGCTTCTGATTTTTCAAGACTGGTAGTAAGTCCAGTAAGTCATAAATATATTCATTATAAATTTCAAAGAAGGAAACCCAAAGTGATGCCAAGGTTTTCTGACCCTTGGTATAAGCCTCTGATTTTACAAATTCAGATTTGTAATCTATTTACAAAGGTTTGTGGGACAGCAAAAAAATAGAAGGCAACATTTATTCAACAATGTAATGGCATTTTATTCATATTTATAGATACATTATTATACTCCTTAAATGCTAGTATTAAGGACCTAATCTCATGCCTAATGATGCTTCAGAATCTTGGCTTTGAAGAACTTGATGGAAGACATACTGCTTTGTTTTGACATTTTCCATATTATTACACAAAATTTCTGCATTTTATATAACTATCTCTCCAGGGCATAGTACCTTTTCATATTATCCTAACAAGATGTAAATATATGTGTGTAGGTATGTATGTACATATACATATGCATATACATATACATATATAGTGTTTATGTACACACACACACACACACACACACACAAACACACAAACACACACATATATGTATAGAGAGGGGGGGAGGGGGGAGAAAATATTATTTACTTTACCTAATTGATCCAAAGGAAGGGTTGTTGAGTTATAGCTGGATGACATTGAATCTGAATCTGAGGGTTTCCAAATATTTTCAGTCTCCTTAAAAAAACTATATAGATTAATTATATTTTATTCTTATTAAGTTATATGAATTTGTTTTAAATTTATTTAAAAAATTCCACAAACTTTCCAAAAAAAGCTGTTATAGCTTCTAATGAATCTAGCATTAAAATGTTTATTCCCCAAAACTTCACATATGTTATTCTGAGAACACTAATATTTCCCAGAGATTAACATATTGACATGTTTAGCCATTCTCCTGCCTTATATACAGGTGCATGTATTTTTCATACATCACATGGTTTAATCCACAGACGGCAATTTGCTTTGTATTAGTAATGTATTTTTATTCTATTATTCATATAATCTTTAAACAGTTATGTAAGCAATCCAGTAAGGTTCTAATCTTTATTTTTAAATATGTGGTTATTTTAATATAAGCAATTCTCTTGTGATGAAAGTTTGAGACCAAGTTATATACTTGGAACTGGAAGTCTTAACATATTTCAATACCTTCTGGAAAGCATTTCAACTAATTGAAAAGTCAAATACAATGAAATACTTGGGCTACATGTTGGATCACTAAAATGATAATTAAAAACATTATTTCAAGCATCTTCCTTAAAACAAAAATAGGTACAGATTAGTTTAAATCTAACTTCAGGAATTGTTTTAGCTATTGTTTTATCTATTTTTCTTTAGATATATTTTTATATTTAATTTTTGCCAGTAATTTATCTGATGTATTCTAGGTAAAAGTATGGACTATAACATCAAGGCAGAAATCAACTTTCAGTTTAAAGAGCACATGCATGGATTTGCTTAACTCATTCTACGGTTTTTCATTGCCTCTGGACTTATTCTAGTCCCAAATTCTGGCTAAATAAAAAGACAACCTGCTCCTATCCTAGAAAAAAGAAATGGTGGGTTCATTTGGCTTAAAGGACTTACATTGTTTTTTTATTCTTCTTGCCAATAATCCATGTTCCTCATAAGCACTACATGGAATACGAAATTTCCAAGGAATGTTTAGCTATTACTGGAAATGCAATTTCAATATATCAACCTTACGTCTCTCTTCTATTGACCACCATGAACAAGAGGAGAATCAGCAAAAAATGAAATTCTTTGTGGCTGCACTGCTTGACCCTGAGTTGAAGAACGATATTCTTGATCTTTCTCCTTTACCCTGTTTTTTTTTATAGGAAAAACATTATAGTTTCTTTTTTTTCCCTTTAGCTTTAGAAAAGAGAGCTCAGAAATGTGAGTTTTCTATCACAGAGAATAATTTCTTTAATTAACTTTGTTATTTTGATCTTAAAGTCTGTCTCTAAGTACATTTAATGGGCTTGCCTATACTCTTACACATACATACAGCTAAATAAGAACCACAATGAATTACGTAGAAAATTCTAGTTAGGGTTATGTGGAGTTTTGCCTATGAAGCCTTTAAGGATAATACCAAACATATTGGTCCACTTACCTCTTTCAAAGAAAAAAGAAGTGCAGCTTTCATGGATTCTTCTTGTTTAACTTGGACATCATTTAGCTTCTTGGTAAGATTACTGAAGCAAGGTTTTAAATTCATCTTTGAATACTGTCTTCCTTTTATATGATTAAAGATCATATCAAGGGAACGAGGAAGAATGCCACCATCTTTTGGACAACCTAAGGATATAATTAATTTTGTTTCTTTTCACGTATATTAGAAAATGTTCTGAATTTTGAACCTCAGATTATACCTTGGACAGTGAAACTTTTGCCTGCATTAGTAACACCATAAGTAAAAACAAGCCCATTTCTTCCATCAAGGTAAGCTTTTACAACATCTTTCATTGTGCCTTCAAAAAATTCATTTTGCATTGTATTTGGTCCAAAAACCTACACAGAGAATACAAGTTATTTTTAGAGACAAATTAAACAGTATGCATGAGAGCTTTACAAACAATCTTTACAACCTTTCTTTACTTTTTCTTTTTTAGGAATGTGCAGATTATTCTAAAAATACTTTTACTAGATTTTTTTTCACCCCTTTTCATCAAGTTTTCTATTTTTGAAACCACAAGAAAAATATGCATTGGCTTTAGAATATTATTTAACATAATTATGATATATGGACATTAGATAGAAAGTTCCCTTGGGAATACTGATTATGTGCTGAAAAAAAGTAACATCCTTTCCATATAGATAGTTTAATTCACGAAGCAGCATAATGTATGTTGGGTTTTCCACTCAAAATAGCACTTGTGGAAAATAAATTATTTTAGCTAAGAAAGGCTGAAAAGGTTAATCTTCAAATTCAAATCCTGTGGTTCTGATCTAAATTGAACTCTCCAGTAACTGCTTTTAGACATGGTCATGTTTACATATCTTTTATACAATGTTAGATTAGACTAGAGCACAGTCGGCAATCTGCGGCTCCGGAGCCGCATGTGGCTCTTTGAGCCTTCCCCTGCGGCTCCCAGCTTCCTCTGCCATTTGCAGAGAGAGACAGAGACAGAGACAGAGAGAAGCACTTGCACTTCCCTTCTCTCTCTCTCTCTCTCTCTCTCTCTCTCTCTCTCTCTCTCTCTCTCTCTCTCTCTGTGTGTGTGTGTGTGTGTGTGTGTATGTAAAAAAAGAGAGTGGACTCATAGTGTTCTCTGAGGAGCTGAAAAGCTTACTGAGCAGGGCTCCTGGCTTGGCTGTGTCTCTGCAGGAAGCAGGAAGGGCAGGAGAGAGCTAGCTAGCTCAGCTATGCTGGCTCAGGAATTCTGGAAGTTGGTCCATGAGTCATAAAAAAGCTGAGGTTGCCTACCCCTGAGTTTGTTGGAGAACAGCTTGAAACCAGCTTGCCAGGCGAGCAGAAGATCAAAGAGAGGGAGAGAGGGGGGAGAGAGAGGGGGGGAGAAAAAGAGAGAAAGAGAGAGGGAGAGAAAAGAGAGAAAGAAAGAGAGAGAGAGAAGAAAGAGAGAGAAAGAAAGAAAGAAAGAGAGTGGGGAAGAAGACCAAGGGCAGAAAGAGAGAGAGGGAGAGGGAGAGAGAGAGAGAGAGAGGAAAGAGAGAAAGGAAAGAGAGAGACAGAGACACAGAAAGAGAGATCCTTTTGACATCTAAACTGAAGATAACATTGCTTATACCCTTTTTTACCTTTATGATATACATATAATGGTAAAAAAGGATATATGCAGTGTTATCTTCAGTTTAGATATCAAAAGGGTTTTGCGGCTCCCAGTGTTTTGTTTTCGGTAGAAAACGGGTCCAAGTGGCTCTTTGAGTGTTTTGGGTTGCCTACCCCTGGACTAGTGGATATAGCAGCCAGTCTGATTTTAAAAGCTTTGATTCCACTGAAATAATGAACAGTGTGTCCCTTAAGATAATATTGTTGGTTACTTGATTACTACTGAAAACTAACTTGTACTTAATTATATAGTGTATAAAATTGTATATTTGTATATTTAAGACTGCAATTTCTTACAAATTACTTAAGAATGTACTGTATTCAACTTAATAAACTAATTACTTAAAGACCTGAAAAAGTAGGAAGCAAAAAAGGATGTTTTGACACTATTTTATGTGCATTTCAAAACTCTGAAATTTGGGGCATGGGGGGAGAGAGGGACAGCTTACCTTTGTGAAGGTGAATTGATGTGCAGATTGTCCAATCTTCTTTTCATTATTCTTTATTTGCGCCAATTCTTTTGGAGCCTGAAGCATTACTGTCTCTTGATTTTCAATAATTAAGCAGTCCTTAATACAAAAAAAAACATTTTAATATCCTTTACAAATCATTTAAATTTAAATGATATTACACAATGTCCAAGATATGCAGTATATGCAAACTACTTGTCTTATCCATTTATTGTTCATGACACCTGAATGGAGCCTAGAATTGTAGCAATAGCAACTTTAACTATGTTGATTGGAGAACTCTGGGAGTTGAAATCCATACATCTTAACATGGCTTAGGTTGTTAAAACTATTCTATACCAAAAGAACTATTTTCTGATACACATTCAGGCAGGAGAATCAACATATTTAGATTTTAGGATATAAATATTATGGCCTGTTGTACCTTTTTAAATTACCCAATTGTTTACTTTATTTGTATGTTTATTTTTAAAATACATCAGTTATCGTATAGCTAAAAACATCTCATAGTTCTGCTCAATTAAAGCACAACCTAATCCATATAAATACAATCAATATAAAAGCATATTAAAAAGAATTAAAAATAACAGAGTTTTATGCAGAAATCAAACTATTTAAAAGCATAACAGGAGAAAAAAAATCAAGTTAAATTAAAATACTTTTAAATGCACAAAATTAAAATTCATACCAAAAATATTTCCTAACTGAAGAGCTCCTGCTAAAACAAATGGCTGCCAAGTAGCTATCCTTGTACATATAGACTTAAAAATAGTAATTGGGACCAGCAACTCTGTTGCCAGGCAGCATGATGTCACATGACCACACAGACTTACAACAACTGTGTCAGTTCTGGTTTCTGTCATTAAAAGAATCTTGCACAGTTGTTAGGCTACTGCTGGTTTGCCCACTGACTTTTCTTGTTGGAAACCAGCAGTGAAGCTCACTAATGGTGATCATGTGAGGTTATTGTGATGACCTAATTGCAAGTTGCTTACCAAATGCCTGAATTGTGATCACATGACACTGTGATGGTTGCAACAGGACTAGTTGTAAGTCTCCTCATTCAGTACCATAATACTGTACAAGTGGTCATTAAATGAGGAGCCACTGTAACTTACCACATGAGAGTCATAAAATCAGGTCTACAGCAATGATCTCAGAACTCAGCTAGAAATACAGTGGGAAAAAAAGCAATCATAGGCAAATCAATATAGTAGTATAGTATATAAGTGATACTTAGACAATGATGATAAAAAATAATCTAAGAGCATATTAAGAAACTAAAATAGTGAAAATAACAGTTTTAGATTACTTGTTCTGAATATACAAAATGGTGAACAACAAACCTGGTTTTCATTATTTTCAAGCTCTGCCTTTGAGAAGGGCCGAACTCTCAAGTAAACTTTCAGTGGCTGATACAGTTCCTTAAAGAAGAAATTAATAAAGATATAAATCTCTATTTTATCCTTTAGAATTACTAGTTTTGAATAGCCTACCATTTACCTTCTGACTTGCCTCAATTTTACTTTTGTGCCTAAAAAATTATTTCTTTGAAACATTATTTTTTAGTAAAACCAGCTCTGTGCATGTTCATGATTTAACTACTCTACATATGGGGATGAGGTGAAAAGTATTTCTGGTTTTAAGGGATCAAACTTTGTGTCAAGGTTCAAGCATCACAATATGCCATAATGAGGTTTGTTAAATTTAGGTGTGAAGATGACTGTTGTAGTTTGTAAACCAGAACCCATAACTTAGCCTGTGGTGTGACTGCAACCACTTGTAGTTTATACACCAAATTATCAATCAGTAAACCATTACTTCACACAATCCATAAATCAGGCTACCCAGTTTAAGTTGATAGCAGCATTTTGTTTATTCTTTAGGTCCATTAATCTGGTAGCATAGTACCCGCTACTCATCTTAACTTTATTTCATTTTCCTTGTATTGTATTTTCAGTCACCTGGGATAGGTTTCTCCATGGTATGTTTTATAGACTTGAGGGTTAAAGAATTTAGCATTCACATACAGCATATTACATCAAACCACAGAAATCTAGACAAACATTCTTAGTGGTTAAACAGAAAGTCATCTACCTTCACTTCTTCTTGTTCTTCAGTAGATACTTCAGACAATTCTTCACAACATACTGCTTCTACCATGCCATACCCCATAAAAGCAGTTGCATAATTTTCTTGGCAATTCATTCTTCACTATATGACAGCAGAAAAGAAAAATCCTAGCTTGTAAGAATATCCTTTTTAACCAAAAAAAACAAAACAAAACTGTAGAGTTAGTGTTATGAATCTAGTATTACTTATTAGATAACTAATTATAATGTAAATTTTTAATTATCATAAAGATCCATTGATTTCAATTCAAATCTGCTTAATCATTCAGGATCCAAACCAATGAATCTAAAATTCACCACAAATGCTAAACTAAGAATACTTGGAGACATTGCAGGTGGTGCAGTTAGTTGATTTTGCCTGGGTTAGAAACGAACTAGGATTGAGCCCTAAGGCTGCAGAATAGACTAGAAAGTTGATCAAATTTCTTGCAGAATGACAGACCACTTATATATACTTTTATTTGTTCAGGAAATTGTCGGCAATTATGCTCAAGGGCTTTTTATTTTTTCTCAGTTAGTTGATTTTAGAGGATGAAAAGTGCTTGGAGGGAAGATCATTGGGAAACATCAGGACTATGAGCTAGCAGGAAGTCAAAGTAACATAAAAATATTTATAAATAAATAAAAATAAAGCACTTCTATGCTGTTGTACAAACAAAATACTATACCCATATCCATGAAAATACCAGAATTTAAGCTTCTCTTTATTAAAGATAAATAGTTCTTTGAATCTCACCAAAACAAGAAAAAAAAACATATGTAGCATAAGATTAAACTATGGCCTAAGATTAGCCCAGTTAGTGCTTTAAAGGTAATAAAAAAGAACTTGCAGCACATCACAAAAGAAATTTAATGATCATTGCATGGCTGTAAGATCAACACTGTATAAAATTGCATCACTGCTTTAGCAAGAAATGAAAATTAATTCTGACTTAGGTCCACATCCTGACTTGCTTCCACACTTTCAAAACCAAAAGTCATGCATTTATGTCTTGGATTGGTAGCCATAAGAATGGAATTCCAGACCAATGAATGTCTGCTTGAATTTGTAAACTAAGTTTTATTCATTTCCAGTCCTTGTGGAATTATTTAATAAAGTAAAAATTGGCTACATTATCAAGCCACTTTCAACAGTCTTGGATCTTAGGAAATATCTATTCAAAATCTCTTTTAAATTGGCAACCTGTAGGTGGCAAACTATCAAGAAGTCAGTTAAATCAGTACATTATTATTTGAGAAACAGGATCTAAGACAAGAATAAATTCTTGCCCTGTAACAGTTTTTCAGATTTTTTTAGGGCCAATTATGTTAGTCTGGTATGGGTTTGTGAAAATCAAAACATTTAAGGCCGTTATCCCAGAGATGCTTTTTTCACAAGGCAACTGGACTTTCTTGTTTTTCTTTGAAGACATTTCGCTTCTCATCCAAGAAGCTTCTTCAGTTCTGCCTGGATGGCGAGGAATGGAAAGATTTATACTTCCATTCCCCACCATCCAGTCAGAGCTGAAGAAGCTTCTTGGATGAGAAGCGAAATGTCTTCAAAGAAAAACAAGAAAGTCCAGTTGCCTCCTGAAAAAATTGTTATCTTTGGGATAACAATAACCTGGATGACTGAGAATCTCCATAAACATTTAGCAATGTAAGGTTGTTACTAGTAAACTACAAATAATTCACTAGTAAACCACAAGTAGAATTCCAAAGAATAGTCGATTAGAGCTTCAGAACCTAACAATATGGTAGTTGTTTTTTATGACACTAATAATACAGATTCAAATTCTATGTTAAAGAGAACCTGGTTCAGAAAATATACTCCTTAATTATAATTGTTTACCCAGATACATATTTTATATATTTTCCTCATTTCAGGCTTAACCTTTACATTAAATAAGGTTTTTTTTTTTAGGTCTTTCACACATATTACACCTTAAGTTGCTTTGTTTGATAATGGCTTAATATGTTCAGTAAACCCAGCCATTGTAAGTTTAACAAACCATGGTTTAACAAATCATAGCTTAATACAGTATATCACCACAGTCAAATTAGCCACAAACATTTTTAGGATAAGCATTATTAAAGTGAACTAGATTCTCTAAATAAGCATACATAACTCTTTTTTTCTCTACAAATTGTTTATAGATATTAGAAATGTGTTTAAATTCTGTTTTTACCCTGAACTATATTTTACCTGTTTTGATTTTTCTGGAAGTTACAGACATAGAAGCACTGCCTTTCTATTTAAAGGTTTATTTTTTCCCCCAGCAAATGTTATTGTTTTATATAAGTGAGTGCTGGCCAATTAGAAGCCAGCAAGTAAATTTATGCTTATACTTCCTCTCCATATTGTACTTATACTTCTGGGAGGGGCAGCTGTGTAATCTCCATATTTGACTGTAAGCTTAATTGAGCAGACTTTTGTCTAAACAAGTTCCATTATTGTGCTGTAAATATTGTATATACTGCATATAAGCATTTATATTTAGAAGTTATCAGCAGAGATGTAGTTTTTGTGTCCATAGATGTTTACTGAACATATTTTTTATTGTAGTAGTAGTTTCAGTGAACCTTCAGAGCAGGCTAAACTTCATAAAGAACAAAGGAATAATTAAAGTGTTTCTGGTTAATATGAGCAGGTGCATATATTTAATATTTTTAGAGAAGTATTTTTCAACCTTAGAAACTTCAAGACGTGTGGACAGCTGGGGAATTCTGGGAATTGAAGTCCACACATCTTAAATTTGCTAAGATTTGAGAAACTCTGGTTTAGAATATGGAGAGGGGTCTTGCACATTCCCCAAATGCCTGCCACAAATCATTTATAGCAACAGTATTACAAAATACCTATTTATCAGAAGACAACCTGATGCAGCTGCTCCCACAAGAGAAAAAAAGGAATAGCTTAGTAATTGTGCTGGGATATGCTCACAGAATTTGGAATCCTTATTTTTATTTAATTTTCATGCGGCCCATCTCGCCTCTGACAACTCTTGGATTATAATATTCATGATTCATAACATTGGTAAGGAAAGGCATATGAAAGGACTGAAACTTATGTTTTATATTCAGAATGTAATGTCTAATTCCTGACATTTCCAAATGCAGCTGAAGATTTACAGCTTGAAACATGAGTAACCTCTGCCAATGGGGGGGCGTTTGCACAAGATGCTCTCTGCATTAATTCGTTAGCATTTGAAAAGCACCTAACTACAACCTAGCCAATTTTATTTTAACCTATGTAATTAATGGTCCAGCATATCATGGAGAAGTTGTGAAAGCAGCTAACTACAACAAAACCACTAAATCCTTTTGCCATGCGTATCATTATTCTAATGACAATCTGGAAAAATTCTCTTCACATGTACCTAGAAATCAAAATGGAGTTTAGAGTACCGTATAAACCCACCCACTATGCTTATAAATCATGACTTAAGTCTTTGTATGAATTCTAAAACTTATTAAATAATTACATAATTATTAATTATATAAACGGTGGCTTTGCACATTTGGGAGTACAGCTAGTTCTTTCAGCCAACCAAGATGTACTATTGAATTAGAGCTTTGTATTGTGTAAATTGTATTAAAATTCAGAGTCATATTCCACCTTCTGCATATACACCTGTAGAATTGCAACATTTTTCTGGTGATCAGACATGTTAGAAAATCTGATAATCTATACTAGCACACATTTAAATGTTTTTACTCATCCTAATAAAGTATCTGCTGTATAAATTACTCTGGGTATTGCAAGAACAACAGAAAGTCTTACTAGATATTTTAAGAAGATTCTACTTGGCAAAAACAATCATTACTATCATTGATTATGAGAATATGTCAAATCCCTTCTCAATGCAAGGAAATATGCAATTTTCCCACTATTAAATTATATGGTTAGAAAAACATTTTGTACATATATTTACATGCCAGTGTTGTATTTTTATAAATATCCAATTGTATACTGTTTGCAATATAGCTCTTGCTGCAAGTGAGCACTGAGTAAGATCGGTTTTTTTGTCAGATGTTAACATCTAGAAAGATTCCTGTGAAAAGTTCAGATACAATGCAGCCCGTTAAAACTGGTCTAGTTTCCTTTTAAAATTACAGTGGCTGCAATCCACTAGAGGGCATTAACAAAGCAGTTTTAAAAAAGATTGAACAAATAAGAATGTCCAAAAATCATTAGGGAAAATATTTTTCATATTTAATAATGTAATAATGTAATGATTAGTAAACATTATTGAAGCTACCAACCCTGTAAATTATTTCAAATGTCCCACAGAATAAGCAAGTAAATTTTAGTTTCAACTTCCATCTTTGCTTACTTCAAATCTCTATCAGTCTCACACTATAGAATTCATCGGCTATTAAACTATTGCAAGGTTAAATTTAAAGTTTGTGGTTTATGCATGTAACATCACGCTAATGTAAATGTTTTCCAAAATAAATTACTCAGTCCACATAATTCTGTAACAGGGAAGGAGAGACACTCAGGACAAGTCCATTTCACAAGTTTTGTTATGGAAACAGATTGTGATCTCTTCTTAAAAACTGCATTGATTTTTGAGAAATGTACTCTCCCCATTTCCTTCTCATAATCTCTTGGTTCTGCCAAATGAAACTTTTTATCTGTGATGAACCTGCTTATGAAGCAATTTATGCAGTACTGACTTAAAGGTCTATTATTTGCAGGAAAACATTACTTTCTGTTCAAACCTTCTTTGAAAGGTAAATAGACAGCAATTGACTGTATTGTTTAACTTCACATCATTTGCAGGTAGTCTTCAACTTACAATTGAGTCCAGTATTTGTTGCTGAGCAAGACAGCTAAGTGGGTTTTGCCCCATTTTAAGACACTGCAACTGTCATAAATACATACCAGTTGCTTAGTGCCTAATTTTGATCATGTAATCATGGGAATGCAACAGTTGTGTGAAAAAGTCATAAGTTACTTTTTTCAGTGCTACTATAACTTCCAGTTATTAAAATAATAGTTCTAAGTCAAGGACTACCTGACTTAACCATTTAGTGACAGTTCAAAGCTACAGCAGCACTGAAACAAATGACTTAAGACTTTTGCACACAACTGTTGCAGCATCCCCATGATTACATGATCTAAGTGTACACTGCACTTGTACTCGGAGACTTTAGGAAAAAGCTTAGGAACTGCTGAACTTTCCGTATAGTTTAAAATAAAGGAAAAATGGGTTTAGATTACAGTGTGCAACAGATCTAGTGACTTTTTAAAATTAGAGTTAAAACTGTCCATCACAGAAACTCTTTCAGGACCAAATAATTAAAACTTGCCGAACCAGGTTATGGAGTAGCACTATTTTTTTTTTATCCGAGTATATATATGTGGGATAAGAATAACTGTTTGATCCTTATACACAATTATATGTTGTATTTAGACTATTCAATTACCCGAAACAAACCATTACAAATTTATAAATCATAGAAATTTCTGATAACTACTTATCCTGATCATTACTTTCCTAATATTTCTTGAAACCTATAAACTACTCACTTCATAAATCTTCATGATAAAGTCACTACCACAAACAACCAGTAATGATAAAAACTTAACAGCTTTTATTGATACACGTAACAATCATTTAAGCATCAGCAATAGTAACTTCAACTTCCACCCCAGGCTCAATGCTGATAGAAGTTATTTGTTTGACAATCTCTGAAGGACTGTGTAAATCAATGAGGCGCTTATGTATACGCATTTGGAACCGATCCCAAGTTTTGGAACCTTCACCACATGGTGTTTTTCTCGTAGTGATTCGCAGAGTCTAAAATGTAAGCAAAAAGATATATTCAATAAACAAACTATTTCTAAAATTTAATAAATTGATATAAGAGAAAAAAAAATTTCCCCCACAAATTAGATACCTTAGTAGGCATGCGAACAGGGCCTTTCACTTTTAGATTTTTTTCTTTAGCACCTCTGATGAGATCTGCACAAACTGTAAAAAAAGCAAGAATTTTAACTTAACATTACATACAGGTCACTATAACATTGTTTTGGATGTTGGCTCAGAATAGCGTATAAATTTATCATAGTAGTTCAATTAAGTCTTTGTCCTCATTGCCAACTATATAGCAACACTAATATAACCAATGTAGAATATTTTATTTCTATATGAATAAAAACCTAATACAGCAGCCCAAGCACATCATGTTGCTTTATATATAATTCATTAATACAACAAAAATATATGCACCAATAAAAATTATTCTGACATCCCAATGTCTGTGTAAGAATACACAAGCTTAGATAATACCATGTAAACTACCAACCATTTAAAAATGTTTGTTCTATTTTGTGACATACCCTTTTCAAGAGACTTCACATTGCGACTTGTCAAAGTAATTCTTATTCGATGAATTGCG